GCCGTTTGCGCAGCAAAAAGCAGACGGACAAACCGACGGACGGACGGACGGACGGACAGACAGACAGGCAGGCAGGCAGTCAGCCAGCCAGCCAGCCACCCAACCGGACATTCAGACAGAAAGCTGGTGGCGGCGCTGCGGCCGCTGCTTGGCGGCGGTTGCTGCAACTCGTTCCTCTCCAACAGAGCTCGACACGGCACGGCTAAACGGACGGCGCGCGGCTCAACTTCGTAGCCGCCTCCAGCTAATAACGATAATAATTCATTCACTCACCAGCCCGTTTGGCTGTTGGCCAACAACAGCAGCTCCGGTAGCGAGCTTTTAACTTCGGCTGGCCGTACTCGTTGTTGCTAGTCAAGCACGGAGCGACCAGCAGACCGGTGCATTGGGCAGTAGGGGCGCTCCCGCCAGCGGAGGCCAGCAACAGCGCCAACGTGAGCTAGCGGAGCGCTGCAAAGCAGTTCACGGGCACGACAGTCACAGCAGAGGCTATAGGAACGACAGTGAGAGGAAGGGAAAGAAGCAAAAATTGACTGACAACGGCCAGCAGCCAAACAAACAAACAAACAAACGAACAGATACAGGGGTACCGATGCTGAAGACCGGAGCTGCATCTGGCCCGCCCGCAATAGACCGTCATCGACCGGTTCATCTATCTGTCCTATTGCGGAACATGATGGTATTGCCGATGTGACGGAAAAAAGCTTCGCTTGATAGTTGCTTGCAAATTGTCGGTTACCAAGATGAATCTATGGAGTCCGCTGGTGCAGAGAGCAAGAGCCTCTGTTATCTGTTTTATTGATGTATCACTGCAGGTGGCAATGGTGTTGTCGACGATAACGGCTAGGTAGGGTGGTGATACCGCTCACAGATGGCTGGTATAGCAGTTATACACGGTTATTCGGCCTTATATGATTAAGGCCAGATTTCCTGCGATGGCACAGGTGCGGTTTTCGCGTGTTTGTCTGTGTCCAATGCGAAAAATCAACTAAGATTTGCTATCGAAAAAGAGTCAAATGTATTTGGTGTGTTTAGTGGCAGCGAATTGTTACTGCAGGAGTTGTTATACTAACTAATTGTTTATGTATCGCCGCCAATTAGCTATTGACTTGGGGCTCCACTTGTTACTGGAAAATATTTCGTATATCTGCGCGATCCCTGGCGTTTCTCCTTTTTCATTTTGTTCCTAAGTTTCGTTTGCTAGATGTGCCATTGTTCTGTATGATCTTCTTGGATCTTTATGGCCGACAGGAAATAGTAAGCTTAAGTTGATACGAAAAGAAACTCACACAGATGAGATCAAGACCAGAAAGGCGTTTAGGTAGATCTGGGTCTTCAAACACACATAGATTTGACTAGGGTCGAATCTTGAGCATTTCGCGCATAAAGCGCTTGAATCACGACTGCGACGAAGAGCCGCAAACAAATTTAACAAACTTGAAGTAGCCTTTAATTTGAAATAAAGATGTCTTAAGTTTGGGAAGAAGGTTCAAGATCGTCGTTGAAAAGCGCGAGCAGATATGCGAATAGCCGAAAGGAGAACAGCTTATAACGGCTGGTGGAAAGGGTTTCGTAGACGAGCATTGAAAGGGTGCGAGCAAGCGAGAGAGGTTCCCGTGACGGAACAGGAACTGCTGTTACGGAGCAATGGGAGTAGACGACACCGGTGCGCGGAAACCGTGTCCGCGCCGGACGGAAAATTACCGACAAATCTGATATGAATTAATCACAAATAAATAATGCATCACATGGTAAACGTACAGTGATGTGTATCCTAGTTTATTACTTGATGAATGAGTCTGTGGGCGTACTATAGTCTATAAATGAAAGTGTTTTAGATACAGAAATTAATAGAATTGCCGTCCCAGTAGCCTATGAACTATCGCTTAAAAAAGAAATCCCGTTTGGCAGAGAAACACTGACAACTTAACACTGTTGTTAGTTATTTAATTTATACAGCTTGAAAATTCTAGTCAGCCAAACATTCGTCTAAATGCCCCGAATTTTACGTTTAGGACAGTCTTAGTTAGGTATTACTTCACATTCTGGGCGTCGACACGAAATGAAGCGTGCCAATGTTAACTTTTAAACCGGGCCATTGGATGTGTTTCCAAAATGCGCTACCACAGCACCATCATGGCCTGCCTTGAGGCTTCGTTCGCGTCTTTATTCAGTTCATTATCTAATTTGCATCGTGCCATAGTAATATATAGAAAATCTCTATTTCTACTCTTGAAAAAGAAATAGCGGGTCGATTTTAGTTTTATATAACTCAAGTTAGTGTTCGATACTTATGTGCATATTAGGATAACAATTGTTCATAATCGAGCAACAGATCCAGCGCGCACTTTGGCTGGGTATCTAAGCGTAATGGTCACCTTAACACCTGCCCGAAAACCCCAACTGTTACGCTGTGTAGTATCTGGCTGCTCAGAGGCCGTGTATTCCCATCCCTGACGCTTATTTTACGTTATTCAATAAGCTTTTTGGTATTGCCTACGATGAGAGGCGAAGCTAATTCCCTAATCTTAAGCTGTTTACAAGTTGTTTAGTGGTTAGATGAAACGATCATAGGTAAAAATCAAATATTACATGCAGGATCCGCGTACCTTTAGTTCCTGTTTTTGCGAAGGCTCGTTAAAATATCATCGAATTATTAAGCATTAAAATAAAAAGATGCAGGAGAGGGGCGTGCGACATATTCTAGTTACTTTTAAATAGATTATATTAGGCAATACGGCTATGATTAGTTTAAAGCTCAAAACAAATTTTACCTGTAGATTAATCAGGTTAGGTCACACTGAGAAACGCTGACTAAATCCAGTTTCCGATGGAAACATTTATGGAACAGTGATTCAGTACCTGACGGGAACCTTTTCATACATATCGAGAAATTAAGCATCACCTATAAAGCGTGTGCCGACAGCTCTAATAAATAAATAATACGACGAGTCGAACTAGGATAATCCGACCTAAAATACGTTATACGAAGAACAGTTCCTGATATACTACTCATCATAGGTCAATAGGCTATCAAAAAATACTTAGTGATAGGATAAAAGAAATATTAGATAGTTGCCTAGAGAGATTTGGGCGTTACGTTCGATCTGGAGATGATCTTGCGATAAACTATTGTGAATGTCGCTGAGGGAGTTTTCAACATCAGTAACCCAGTCCTCCAGGTGTTCTCAGTGTGTACCAACGCCAAAAATCTTTGCCGACAGAGCTTTAGTTATGTATAAATAAATACGTTTTGTCTATGTGTAGATGCATTTTCAGAAAAAAAAAAAAAAAAAAACGTTGCTTTGTGGTTTACAAGAGAAACGGGTGAAACGGGTTTCTCAGTAATGGCATAATCCTCCAAGCCAAATGACCTACTCTAATATACCTCAACTTCAACATATTATTTTTAATCGAGTATTCTATAGTTGTATTCGATTTTGGTAAGTTTCACGTACGCTGAGACAGCAACTTGAAGCCTGGCTGTTTGGTAAAATAAGATTCTACTTAGAAAAAAGCTAACCTAGGGTCAAAACCATATACTGCTTCAAGTATAAGCTTATTCCTGCCTGCTGCCTGTACGCTGATGTCCGATCCTATAATGAGCCTGTTTTTGCCTCGCCCCCTTTGCCAGTATATCTCCATTACATACAACTATTACATGCAAATTTTGCGTCTCGTTTATTTTTTATTTAGCAGCTTTAATGATGTGAATAACTCATCTATTTTTAGATTTAGCATAAAGGACTTGCGCTGGTTAGCAGTTTAGCAATTGGTATTGCCAAGCTTTTCTATAGGTCTTTCAAAGGGCCTACAAAACAGCATGGTAACCATACAAATAGCTATTAAGCTTGATGAACAATACCGCTTTAATTCCCTATTGTTTGTTCAGTCTTTATTTTCTTGGTTATTAATATGTGGCAATAATCTTAATCAACGCTGATAATTGAACTGGTGTAACATCATGCCTATTAACTGTAGTTACCATAACAGTGCACTCGAAGACATGCGCAATTGCCACCAGCTCATGTCGTACTTTTGCCCTTTGGTATGGCACTTCTAACATTTCAAAAACTCGGCTGATGTTGGCCAAAGGAAGGTGCAAAAAACGAGGCCCATAGTCCTCAATAGCAACGGTACTATAGTAACTTTCCTTACCTTCCACCGTACTTCGTGCGACAGCACTTCGGAAATTGTTGTTCTAGATGTTGCTGTACATTGTAAATTTCTATGATTTCGAATCGTTTCGTCATTGCCCCCTCTACTCTAACCCCACTCGTAAAAAAGGATAGGTAGAGACGAAAACGGAGAAGCTAACACGTTACACAAAACTGAATAGCATGGCTAGTGCAATCTATCCTTGCTAAAAGCTTTTCGAGGTAAGAAAAAGTAGTGCAAAAGGCTGAATCGTCCTAAAAGAAGTTTAAATTGAACGTTAAAAACTTGAGACCGTTCACAAAAGTAGAAAGAGAAACCTAGCCTAGATACTTAATTGAAGATGGATTTGCCTACCAGATCAGGATGTGGTTATCGATGATGAGGAAAACAGCATCTTAACGCTTGTAAACAACCGTAATAAAAAGTAAATTTTCAAGCATTAATGCGAGCAGCATCTCAAGTGTAAATGAAATGTAATTCTATCGAAGTATAGTCGACACCCTTCCGATCAAATTGGGAGTGTAGGACAAAGGACGTCAAAGCTTCTTACATTGCTTGTTAATATTACACAGTTGCTTTCATTGACATGTTGGCCTGAATCATTATTCATTTCTTCTATAACTGCTTTTCACGAATTTTCCTTCCTGTGCTCGTTTTACCCGAAGTAGCATTTGTATATTAGCTATAAAGAAGAGAACTCCTAGATAATCGTGTACATCTTGTGAAGAGGGATTTGGAGGTTACATTTTTTTTTCAGAAATAGATATTATAGTTTATACCCTTCCTTTATTCTATTTTATTTATTTATTTATTTATTCCTTTATATATTCCGTAAGTTTATACTCTGACACTGTCTAGTTGCTTGTACTCATTCGCGCTAAAAACTGGGTTAGGCCTCATATTAAGATCAACCGATAAATAAGAAATACTGTGTCTTTGTTATCTCGGTAATAAATCTGATTATCTATCCCACTTATACCTTTAATACAAGTAAATTATCTTTAATGTTCCAAGCATGACACATATCGAAGCGTTTCCGACTTCACAGAAAAACAGCAACAATTCTATCCGATAATGATGTTTATATCAAAGAAAACAAAACAATAACATTATGTGTTACCGTAAGTATAAGTAAATAAACATTAAAAACATGGTTTGTATGTATGCGCTCTCCAGTAGGAAGGCCGTTGTGTTTAATGACATTAGTCGTAGTGGTGACATAGTGAACGAACATAGCCCCTAGAATAAAGACCGTATTTGGTAATTGCGTTTTATAAGTCCTACTAACAGTTAAATAAATACTTCAACAACTGCGGCTGAATGGCTGTAAGATACAAAACGTTACAATATCATGCATAACAGATTCAATGCGACAGGTGCTTTACATTCTACATATTTTTGACATGCATTGCCCTTGTCACACTTAAAACTCCCATAGTTAAATGTCAATTCATGTCATGTTAACTATAATGATTTCAAGCTATTCAAGAGACTGTTAACAAACGACAAAATGTTAAACGTTCAAGTGAAATTATTGTCCTGCCGGTGAGTATTACAGAGTCTTCATTTGGTCCTGGTTGTCAAAATATCTGCTCCATGTAGAGACCTAGCGGATGGTATCCTGACTGACTATGTTCAGCCGTTTTTGTTCTCCGGTGTCAAATACGTAAAGATCTGACGCTATCTTTTTTTTTCTAGTCTATATACTGCGTGTCAAGAGAAACAATTCGCACTTGCGCTGATGACAGCATCATATATATATATATATATATATATATATATATATATATATATTTTTTTTTTTTTATTAAAAAGATATTAAAAATCCTTTTGTACATTTCAGTTGTTTTTACCATTGTTAATGCGCTTTTATTTTCAGCATAAAATACAGACTCAATAAACTCACCAATAAGTCCCTACATAATCTGCACACATTCTTCGTTAGCCATCCTCAAGCCGAGCTCTAGGTGACCCGTCGTCATTTTTAACCCATCGTCTGTAATTTATAATTGCACGCTTGAGTTACCGTTGTTGTGGGAGCCGTAAACTGACCTGCATACATAGCTCCTCAGATTGTGACCATTTTCTGTTCGAAAACGTTCTAATAGTGATATTATGGCACAGTTTCCATCTATAGTCACGCGGAGCCTTTCAATGTAAATGGCGTTAGAGTGCTCAAACGAGGGCACGAATTTAGCCTTATTAGACGTGTCTCGTATCTGCGTAATTCTACCAAGGCTCTCTGTGTATTGGAAAGTGTTATCCTTTTTTGATGTTAGCGTTTGCAAGTTTCTTTACAAACCCATTAGTAACTCCTTGGCTTTCCCTCAAGCTCCGCTCCCTTGTCGACCACTGATGCGACTGTCGATCGACTTCAACGAACAGTATAATATCTATGGCTAGCTATGCTACCTTTTCTAAACCTGCTATAAGCAGGCACCTATAGCTCTTTGTTTTAGCGGAATTCAGGTGTTATTTAATGCTGTCGATAATTACATTCGAAATCAAGGACAATTTTCGGTCTACGACGGTCTATACAAGAAAAAAAAACGGAAATGCCAGTAGCACTACCCATCCAACCTACAGGGTAATTCCCCAGTTGGAAAACGCTCTCTGGCGCTACGTCTATGCAACTGAACAATGGCTCCCATCCAAACACAAGCAATCATTCACGACGCCATAAAGGGAATTGGTTGTGAACTAATGCCATCCCGCGCGCTACTGCATGCTACGATTCAACACAAATATTTTTTTATCGCTAGCCCAATGGGAAACATTGAAATTTACCGGCGAATTTTAATAAAACGTGTATTACTATATATGAATGTTGTCTCCAAACACACCCACAGCTATGACTCCATTGCCAGCATCCGTTCCTATTATTCATGCGCGCTATCTTCTCGTTGCCCGCTCTCTGTCTTTGATAGCATTTTCTAAATTGAGCATTCATTGAACTAAATATACGCCTCGAAATTGAACGAGACGTCATAATCACTACTTATTAATTTGATACGCCTGTCGAAGACGTCCACTTAGGAAGATTAACAACTCGAATGATTATTATCTATGATTTTGCTAGCTATTTGACATAACCGCAATGCATGCGCATATTTTGATTATGTTACAACAATTAAGTCAAATAGTGCCACACGCTAAAGAAACATTGTGGTTCTCATTCGGGATGCCGCAAAGTCAGAGAGAGTTGTAGAGGGTAGAATTCGAAATGATGAAATTCCAAAAGTTGTAGAAAATATGTTTTCCACTTTCCTAGAATCATGCTGTATATATAGAAAAACTTCAGACACTTCGGCCTGGAAATGTTGCCTCTTTATGTTCTCAAGAGCTATTGTGTTCCACCAAGCATTTCAGCACATAGCTCAGAATTTTTCTGAGTGAGAGCATAACATTTGCCCTCAGCACGGGCACTTCTTCGGCGCAATGTTCTCACAAGGTGTTGCTTATCATTGATTGCCTCGTATTTGCGAATATTATGTTTCATCGAAAGGCCGGGACTGGTCATCTGAATGCACATTTTGTACGGCTTCTCGTAGAACTCGAAGTCGGTGATGAAGTCAAGATACGACTCGAAACCGACGTTAATTTCAACCCGCGCCGATGCAACGTCCGAAAGAAGACGAGCCGAACCTTGGATCAGGCCCGCGCCAGCAGAATGCACTATCGAATGGGAGTTCCTATAAATACAACACATTCGTAGACGATACCTAACTGAATTTTTTTTTTCTGTAACACAGTTTAACCTCTTTGTCCAGCAATACGTTGTCAAATTGAACAACAGCCGAAACAGGGTTTCTGCCGGCTGATAACTACGATAACTTTCTACATCCTAATGGTAATGTCGAGAACAATGCGTCACACCAATAACCAGTGAAATTCAGCTTCAAGAGCTTATTATTTAAACTGATAGTAGTGATGGGACCCATGACGAGCAAACCCACAGTTCCCTTAAAATTGCCAAGAGTATGAATAAAACGCAGCAGGGGGTACCTGTTCCAGAGCGAAATTTGCACGCTGCCGCCAAGATCAGCAGATAGTGCACCTTTGAGTTGAAGCTGTACAATGAGACCACTAAGCAGAGGCTGTAGCTGCATGTGGTCCATAAGCAAGAAGTTGCCCTGGAGTGCGGGAGTATATTCGGAAGCTGTGCCCGACCACACGTGGCCCATCAAATCCCCGGTACCGCGAAAGAAAACGTACGGACGTATCTCGACACCCAGGACTTGAAGGGCAATGCCGGCCGTAGCCTCTTCATCACCGTCAACGTCCACCTGAATACGACGAGCCATGTTAGTGCTGCGTTTTATTGTGGGATTCGATTAAATCGTCTAAACTGATTCACCGGCTCCAAATCTGTTCATTTTATTAGAGTCGATCTCGAGAAACAAATCCTCACTTCTGAATTGTTATTGATAAATTGAGTAAACACACGTAAATCAGTTTAAATATATTGCTACTTATATTTAGAAGCTAACCATAGTTCTATCAGAACATTCTTAGCGAGTTCTATTACTGTTTAAGAAACGAGTACGGTCAGTGAAAAATACAGGTAAACAATATATACTGTTTGTTTATACCTCATTGCCTGATGTATCCCCACCAGCCAAGCCAGCAAGGCCTGCGGCGAAGATGTTGACTGCGATAAGGGGCATTTGTTCCGTAGATGATGTCTGGACGTTGACTTCGAATGACGTTTGTTTGAGGAGACCGCCGGGCATTAGCTCCATGTTAAGGCCGTATGTCGTGTTGAGATCGTGGGATCCTGTGGACGACAAGAGTTAGACTTGTTGTGCTAATACATTACCATAACAAGCATGTACAATGTTTAAATCCTGGTACTAAAATGAGGTACACATCAAAGCAAGTAATAAAAATGTTGGGTAAACACCTATTATGCTCTTACGATATCATGTTGGGCTTTATGCTAGCTACCTAACATAAACAATTACTCTTCTTTTTAGTTCTATCGCATTATAGATGTAACCGAATGCATACCAATTGTTGACTATGACCTAAATGGGTTGTGCCAAGAAATCAACAAATCTATTTTAAAATATTGCACAATTTTAGGAAATTCATGGGCTAAATCGGATTAGGTTTAATTGGAAGGTTATCGAATAAGTACACTGAAAAGTATATATTTGAATCGACGTACTAGCTAACAGTCTGGTGAATGTAGATGATATTCCTCCATGCGCAAGCGAGTCATAGTTGATTATTTTAGGATTCCGAGCGACCTTCTTAGCATTATAAGCCTGACCAATTTTAACGAGTTCCTGGAACTTGCTGGTGATAAAGGTCTGCAGTTCAGGGCAACCTACGTTCTTAATGTATGCCATGACCCGCTCAATTCTTGCGTGGTCCCCGCCTGTAAAGATCATTTCTGCGGCCAGTGCACGTGCTGTCGATTCCTGGCGGGATTTCGTCTGGAAAAGACGTTTTGGGCGAAACGATGAGAAAATTGTTTTGGAGATGTTCCATAGGTATCGGATTTACTTATTCTTGTTAAGCTTAAAAAGAGACCTCCAAGGCGATATAAAGATCTTTGAGCTGCATGTGCAAAAGAAATGTTTCCGCAAACACCCACCACCTGAGAATATCATATAAATAGATTTGCCCCTTATTGGGTTTAGATGATTGTTGAGGTACGATACGTACCTCAAAATAGATATCTTCAAGCGTATCGAACACTTCAGAAGTGAAATATACAGATCCGATCTCCTTTAAGGTTTTAAGCACTGCTGGGCCAATTGCCTTCGATCCATGCTTGGCTTCTTTGAGTAGTGCCGGGATACTTGTTGGCTGTGCTGCGTTTTTGAGTGCACGAAGGAAGATGAGTTTGCATTCGTCATCTTTGTTGGGGCACTTCGCAAGCTGTGATTCTAGCCAGATCCTACCGTCGTGCGCCTGTTTCATTTGAATATTATTTCCGAGGGCATGTCGCAACACAGAGCCGAATGAGGCCACTAAAGTCGCGTAAACTTTCTCATTATCAAGCTTTTTTACGGCAAGTGTCTGTAATTGGTTGATGAAGGCTGGTGTCGGATGAGAGGCCATTGATATGGCCATGAGAAAGCGTTCAGTTAGTGTCGCATCCTTCCCGTCCAACTTCACTACGCGTAATGAGCCTTTCAGGGATGGGATCGTTTGGGACGCACCGGCGATATCGAGAAGCTGAGGCCTGCAAGACGAATGTATAATTAGGTGGGCATTTATCTTACAAGAAATGGTAGCTCCGCATAGGTGTCGTTCTATCGAGTATTTCTTTAATGCGGAGTAACCAAAGAGTAGTATATATAATAACAATAACTTATTAATAACGTACATGATTTTCGCGTTTTTGGGATTCTTAAGTGCCTCGTAAACTTCCTGTTCAGAAGCAATCCGGAAGCCTTCAAGCAAAGTTACAAAAGCCATCGAGCTTTTCAGTGTCGCCATCTTGTCTGCGGAAAGCTGATCCCGAAACAGTGTGATTCGATCAGCCAAAGAACCTTTGAAGCCGTGTGCATGGTTGATTTGATGCGGTCGCGCAATGATCGTGTCCTGCTTGTAGCGGTCCTTAATAGACGCCTCGAGCTGTCTGACGGCCTCTGTTTCGTCGATGCCCTTAAGTACGGAAATCTTCGAGTTTGCTACACTGCTATCTTCCAGTTTCAGCGAGTGGTGGGCTGTCACCTCGATAGCCGCTTCTGGCCACGCATTCACAGACATGCGGATCGACTCCGAAGCCGTGGCAGTCTGAACCGCAGATAGATCGGAAAGAAGTTGATAATTGGTCTGCGACGTCGTCTGTGTCTTAACTGAGCGGACCTGTAGATCAAATAAAAAGCATAAAGTGGCACAACCTTATATCTTTACCAGTGGTATGTTTTTCCATGACAAACTACTCCGCCTCGAAGCATTCCCAAATGAATCTTATTCATATGTCCCACAAGCTTCTCACGTCATCGAACGTCAGTTGGCTATTTCGACCTGATTCTGGTGGCATAATTTTGAACCTAAGTTCGACGCTTGCGGACTACTTGTAGCGCATCATAACAAAATCTCGTTTACCGAATGAGGGTGCTCATACTGCTCGAGGTCCGGATGAATGCATTCTTCTTTGATCTTCTTGATGTGTTTGCCATCGGCTTTGATGACGACCTTGCATTTACCACTGACGTCAACTTGCGACCGTCTAATATCGGATGTCACCTGGTACTGGAATATACTTGCAACGCCTGTCAATCACACAGCCAAAGGACTTCTAATGTTGTGTTTAACTATTCGGTACGACATTAAAATACCCAAAAGTAAACTAGATGTGTTCTATTGGAAATCAGTTTAAACATTGAAGCTATATTTAATGACATTAATACGATGAACTTGAAGTTATGGGCATATATGTTTGACCCAATTTATTGACAACTTGTGATTTAAACGTTTCTAAGACTATTTTATTGGCGAGTATTAAGAAAACTTTTTTTTTTTTGAAAACACATTGACATTGTTAGCAGCCAGATATAGATAGAGATAGATATAACAACAGTGTCTCTTTTTTAGCTTATCAAATCATATGTAATTTGTCAACGAAGTGTTTTGAATAACCAAAAGAACCAAATTTTTGGTCTGTATTAACCTGAGTCATTCAGTTGTTCCCTTGGAAATAACCCACCTCATGCTTTTGAACCCATTTATTAGATTTTTTCCTTGATTTTTTTGGATCCTTTTCCATTCAAATGTTTCTTGAGCTTCAGAAAGAGAAAAGTTGTGGGGGACTAGATCCTGATGGATATGAGGTTCGAACAAACGAAATCGTCGAGTTCATCCATAAAAGACACGACACAAGCAGTGACGTTTGAGCCGGTTCAATATCATGGTAAAGGACCTACATTTTTCTTCCTTTAAATAACTCAGACATATCTATTACGAGATGGCCATTTCTTTAAACGTGATTTCAGGACGGTTTGGTTTGTTTTTAAGCTTTGATCCGCACTCTTTTGAAGGTCGTTAGAACAAAGGTTACCTCCAAGGTCTTCTAGTCCGCTGCCACTTGACGTGACCTATAACCTAGTCCTCAAAAGCCCACGTCATCCACTTGTGAACGTCTGATTTTGTCCCTAACGCAGAATGTGATCCATAATCCTTAGGAACAAACAAAACCAACCAGAAAATCACTGATTTTGAAGTGTTTAAAAAGCAGAAGGCAGAAGTCCGAATGCTTAGGCCTGTAAATAGCAGACAGGCATGCAAGTGCGGTGACAGAAGCATGCCCACAAATCAGCCAGAAAAAACGGGCTTTTTTTTAACACAATAATGTAAGGCATTTATAAATCATTTGAAATTAATGAATATAAATCATTAGGAGCAATACGAGAGAGGATTTCTGAAAACTACTTCTATACTTCTCTAATTTCTAAACATTTGTCATAAATCTCAGATGCTATAATTTTTTTACCTTTCTTTAGGTTGAGATATGTTGAATCGTCAGCGTTGGCGACCCAAACCCGAACAATCTCGTTGTCCTTGAATAACGCATACATTGGTAAGTGGGAGGCCCGATCCAAATTAGAAGCGTGTTTCTTGCGCTCTTTTGAATCTCTAGTAACGGAAATACATTAAATGAGCAACTACTATGTTAAATAACTTATTTCTTATTTGTTCGTTATTTACACCTAAGTTATTAGCATTAACGAAACTTTGCTGGTTTATTGTGTGGTTCCTGCTAGAAATTTCGCAATTCAAAATGAACTAGAAACAATGGACAGTTGTTAAATATTTTTTCTGTTTTTAGAATGACTTCAGACTTCGTCATTTGTTATACTTCTTAATATTCTTACAAGTAGTGCTAGAAATGATGCAGACGTAAACGTCTTGCGTGAAAAATTTGCCGCTTGAATTGTGTTCATATCAGTCCAGTATCTTATCATCACTTCTAATACTAGTTTTAAAGTTCTCGAGCAATTTCGGTCAAGTTCAATATGAGTTCGTTCAAAGGCTATACTCATACACTGAAGGTTTGTCAAGCAATTCATACGAAAATATCTTTTGGTCATCTGTCCGATGCATTGCAGCTTTTCTTGCTATTCGCATAGCAGTATCGTCTAGTAAGGAGTCAGTTATACAATACAACCGTTATTAACTTCTATAAGTTCTATTCTTACGTTCATTCTTCTTTTCTCTCCAACTGCACTTACTGTTTATCAGCGGGAGTGACGGTTAGGTGGGCATTTTCCAAGTCGATTTCGACAATGCGATTTAACGGTGTTTGAAGATCCTTCCAAAGAGTAGTGAGTTTAGCCTTGGCCTCGAAACCATAGCCTATTTGGCGACCTGTTTTCTGCCCCAACTGCGACGAGGCGTCATTGAGGAAGGTGTCCGATCGTAACAGGTAGGAATATGTCTGACCAACTTCATACTGACGGGTGGAGATGACTGCAATTATAAACAAACTAATTGAAAAAACATGCAGGACGTATTGCGCAATAGCGGACATAAATGACCGGAAGGAATTCGAATTCGCTTAGGAGTTTCGATAACTTAAAGTTAATTGCTCCAACGAGCTACAATACGTTGAGTACGTTTGAGGATCATTTCATGCACCATCATCATATCATGCGTTATAAAACTTCGATGGCAAAATTAGAACGACATTAACTTTTACCTTCTACGACATTCTATTTTTTTTTTATTTATTATAAATTTAATATTCCGTTGTGCTTTTCGAAACAATGTACTGTATCATGTTTAAAAAATGTCTACCAAATTAAATAATGAAAATTTTACGGGGAGCGATCACAGGTAGAAAACCTGAAATTCGAATCCACCAAAACGTCGCAGCGACATCTATCATGAGTTTCGCCACACGCGTATCTAAAACGCAGCCAGGTGGGCAACGGGCATATGGATATTTCTCAGGCTGTGTGTGCAGCAGTACTTTGAGCTATTTATTCAGTTCAGTCAAATCACAAATTCGTCAGGTAAGAAAAAATGAAAAAATCAAATACCATATAAAGCTATCACTTCCCGGAACACTCAATGTCGTACATAAGTCGTCACCTATCGTGACCTAAACAAACGCTACATAAGGCTTGCACAAACGGAAAACAAGATCGCTAGTTTTCGGGCAGTTTCGGCCATATTTTTTAAGTGAACTCTCTCTCATCTCGAGAGGATCAGGTTTGATTCAGGCAAGAAAGAATCGTTTTTATCTATAATTCGTTTTCCTTTAGAAAACCTTCTCGGAACGCAGTACATAAACGAGTTCTACTGTTCATTTGTCAATAGCATTACGGTAACGCTACGTTTATGGTGCCCCTCTTAAAAACGAAGCCAGTGTTCTAAAGGCTAGATCAGTGCATCTAAATTGGATTCTCTAGTATTCAGATACCACCTATGACAATGCAGATATTACCGAGATTGAAATTCGGTTACCACTAGAGTTTTACTGTACATTGTAAATTGCCGTGATGGTGATACTCGATTTACATGATTTTTATAGCTTATAGTTACTTTTTTAAGTACGTATTTTACACAATTGAGAGTCGTTTGCTTTATGCTGTATGGCCAATATAAGGTTAAAAAAAATATTTCTCGAAACTTCAAAATCGTCTCGAAAAGTCTCGAAAATCAGTATGTATGTTGATCAAGAATAACGTTACCAACATTCATTCTTCGTCATTTAAGCTGTCGAAGAAAGTTAAGAAAAGCTGTCGACGCAGCCTTAAATGGTGTAAAGTGTATAGTAGCTACCCTATCACATACAGTATCATTCGAAAATAGCTTATAAGGGTTAGAATTTGTGTCTTTGGAATGGCGTTAGAAGAGTAAAATTCTACTCTAGGCTTCAAATTCATTGAGCATTGCTTCACGCCACTTTGAAAAGAAGACTATCGCCAAATAAGGCTATATAACTTAATTATAGAGTTTTCATGTCTAGCTGTTTGCCGCAGTCTTTTACTCTCTAATTAATGAATATACGCCTAAATTACGCAGCGTCATACAGTTACTATTACTCTACAAACATATTCGGGAGCGGTACCAGGACCGGTTATGAAATGGAGTCAAGTTAAAGTTAAGAATAACTAGTATGTTAGGTTTTAAAACAATTACTAGTAGATTAAATGTTCGATGACGAATCTCTTAAAAAGTGTAAAACGCCAACGCTCTTTCGTTTTTCGAATGTTCAGCCATCTTCTGCCTGTCATCGAGGCCTGACGCGTCGCACAACTATTTAATGTTTATCGTACTTCGCTTCCGGCACAGCTGATTGTCAATATTTTTTTTTTTAATTAATCCGAATTCGTTGCTATCGATGGTAATATATTGTCACAAGTTATGTTCCCTGTTCCTGCCAAACTACATAAACGAAGAGAGCTGACCTTGACGACCATTCAAAACATCGGCGCATATTTTTAGGCACAACTCTTTGAATTGAAATCTCATTTTTCTTTTGAGTTTCCACTTTTTACCGTTGACGTCGTAACGATATCTGTGTCAAGTCACCGTACCTCATCAGAGGGCACCACTGTCTAGTTTAAAGCTTGGGTTAAGCATCAAATGGTGATCATTACTGGTAAATGACGTAGTGTAGAGCGCGTAATAAACGACATCGATAGCCGTCCGGAGCGATAACTGTGTTGTCTGTTTGTTGATGTAACGTTTCCCCTTCTAATGGACGTTAAGCGTTAAGAAGTTTGTGCGGTAGGCCTGTCTTAAAGCCGTCTTATCTCGAACTGGACTGTAGAAACCAGTATTTACAAGATCGACCTCTTAGCAGACCTTTCTCGGTTCTGCAAAGCTGAAAACTCGAACACCTTCTCATCGGATAGCTTTGTTATTAGACTTCTTTTTATCCCAAAAATGTTGTGTGTATTCTGAAAGAGAAACAGTGATTGTTCCACAAGAGTCACATCATAACAAACAGTCTATTTCCTAGAACTTAGAAAAGCAATCTTCAGTTATATTCCTCTCGGAAATCCCCAATTTTTTTGACTTTATTTTATCTTTTCACCAACTAATTCGGCACAATTGACCAAATCCTCTACCGCTGCTGATAAGATTTCGTTCAGATTTGACGATCGTTGATAATTATAACAATTACGGCTGACAAGGACTAGATAGCTACCAGCCGTACCTATATCGTAATGGAAAATAAAAATAGGATCGCATAATCGCCCATAAGCCTTCATGTGGTTGAAGGCAGACGAGCGTTCACGACATAGCTGGTGATATTCACTAGCCGAAAAGGGCTGCTTTGACGAATGACGTGGCTTAAGAGGAAGGTCAAAGAAAGAAAACTGCCTTCTGTAGGTGATTATCAGCATATGTTACCTGCATCGGTATCTTATCGTTTATGCTGACTGCATTGGCGATTTTGGTAGGCCCATTGGTGGGTCCTGTTTAGCCGACGGAACATGATACATGCGCTTGGAGACTACTGCAAAGGTTAACGAATTGCGCTAACCAAAAAATAGTAGTATATTTATATGTCGAAACACAAAGGTCGGTACTATACCAATCATCAACGAAATAGTCATATAGACTATATCGTAATATGCCACATACGCGTATACATACATTATATGTATATTTGTTGTGAACTTGAAGATTCAATGATCCACGTAGCATCTAATATATATATATATATATATATATATATATATATATATATATATACATTAGTTGGTTACTCAAAAAAAATTCATAAAACAACGCATATATATAGCGAGACAGACGGGGAGGGGGAGATAAGATTACTTTCTCAGCTGTTATTATCGCAACAAGGGGTTACATTTTGGCCTACTTGCTGAAGATGATTAATAAATAAGGGACTGAGTGTAACTCTAACGATGATGAGCCCAAGGTAACTCAATTGAAATACACCTTTGTGAAATAATCTACCCTCGCCGGAATCGCACATTTACTTAAGTTCGTAGAAGTTTTTTCTTGGATGCAAAAAAAAAAGATGTCAAATCTTCCCATTCTTAGAGAAACAAGTCTCCTAGCTGGTTTTTGAACAGATTCGTTTCAATCGACCTATCTACATTTCGGGAAGACTCGAGATACCGGTAACAGTTTTTTAATTGTACGCATCCTCAAAGATGTCAAAACGATGCTGATGGTGCTTTGTGATAAAACATTTTCTTATAATAACGTCGTGATATTCTCCAGTAAGCATCTTTCTTATTGAAAAAGTCATACTGTTCGCGGCATAGACGCAAGTACTTCAAAAAGACATTTCGATTTTACTTTGATTATTCATCTAGAAATAAGCTTTTTCCGGCATTTTACGTTCGAACACTGTCTACTGTTTAGACATTATCATCGCCTAGATTGAGATTCATTTCTATCATATATTATCGTCATAGTTATGGAGCCTGGGAAGGTCTGTAGGTGTGAATCAAAACGTAGGGCTAGAGGTTTCAACTGCCGCAACGAAAATCGCAGCGATCTCCTCTACTGACAGATCCAAAAATTTATTGATACCATTGGATCCGATCAAGACGCAAAACGGCCTACACCTCGAAGGTTATTGGTAAATCTCATGCTAATGCACCTAAAAGGTTTAGTAGGTCTACAATGACAAATTTATTTGTTTGTCTTTAAAGATAGCTGCAAATTGAAAGATACCAGTTTGAATAAAAACCGTTTGCTTGTGGTCTGTCCCAGTAATGTTAATAGCGTGTAGCTACTGACATGTATTTTGGATGTTCACCATATATGGCTAATGTGCTGAAAGGTAATAAGAAAAGGATTCGCTAATAATTCGGAAATTTTTGGAAAATAACTGTTAGCTGTGCAAAATGGCATAATGTTTTTTTTTTTTTTTACAGAAAGCAAATGTAAAAACGGAAGCAACAAGCAAAAGAATTTGTACGATATGAATTTCTGTTAAATACCGCTAGCTAAGAACTTCCAGCTCAGGAAAACCTGTATGGTTTCAGTTTCAGGTTAGGTGCCGCCGATAGACATTCTATCTGATTAAGGGAACTGTTTTATGTTGAAGGTTTTATGTTCGGCATCCCGTTTAGGCACTCTATGAGGCAGCTTGTTCCCAGCACAAAACGAACATTGTGTTTACGGCCAAGTTCGAACTTAAACCACAACATGTCCCTAGGATCAGTAGGCAAATACATTATCTACCAAGCTTAGGGGAACCTAGTTAAGGCTAATTGTTTCCTAATCACATTAAGAGATAATGAATACGCATGAATGGAGCAGGCATAAAAAAGGCATACCTAATATAAAGGATAACTTCAATATAAACCGGTGCTAACAAGCAATTGCCGAAAAACTTACCAAACTGTAAAAGTATCGTGAATGACAATATCCGTTTCATCGTTATCCGTGCCAGTGCTCCTTCTAACCTGAAGCAGGATAATATATTTGGGAGTTAGTGGAAGTATCAGATAGATCATATTAGTTCGTCGATAGTTAAGTGTCACCGCGATAGCCTCATTTTACAGAAAGATTTATCGCTTATTAAATTCTCCAATTCTAAAAGTGATTTCTGGTTTTAACGTCAAAAAATTAGATTAGAAAACTGGCTCGACACAAGCACACTTCGGTGCAAAGTAACTCGGCTCTAAGGTAGCCAGCCATTTATGGGCCTATAGACTCGCGTTGATTGGGGCACGGGAAGTCAATAGCAATGAAAATGTCTTCAAACGTAAAAAACGTTCAAACGAAGTCTTTCTCGGATAGATAAATTAGCATAATAAGCTATACATTGAGTGTTCAAATTCGCCTTTGACCTAAAGTATAGGATCTCTTAGCCCTATAGCTGGCTGCTATCGGTAAAAAATATCGTTGTACTGAAAAATAACTTTAATTGGCTGACTATTTTTACACGCAAATAGCGCTCCGGCCATGTATGTGCGCAATTTGACAATGGAATAGAACGGGATTTCGCAAGCGAAGGTTCGCTGCATCTTTTGATGCAGTCAATGGAGAATTATATGCGAGAGAATTATAGGAGATTATAAATTATAAACAGTAAATTCGATTTGATCCCTAAACTTACTTCTTACTGTTTGGAAAAAGTTTTTCATAGTACAAAAAATCCAAATACAAATGCAATTACAAAACATACGTTAGGTAACAGACCAACTATTATCACTTCATTTAATAATCAGTTTGAGGTGCGACTTCGTTGTAACGTACCAAGCTAAAGCAACGGTGTGTTTCACTTCCAACACCGAATACGGTCGGTATTAAAGAATAAAACTAATACGTGCCGTGAAAAGGTATGGAGTTCTATGCAAGCATAGAAAAGTACTCAATATGTCACCAAAGGTCCATACAATTTTGCTTTGCAATTTTTAATATTTTTTGGGTCTGAAGTCTGAGTGAACAAACGTAAATAATGGATGTTTTCATTTAAAGGCTGCCCTATCTTATTTAATCTAAAATTAAAAGTAACCTGAAACAATATCTAAAGTGTGTAGAATTGTGCCAGCACCTGAGCAAAAAAAGGTCCCGTTCGGGCCTTCTTTGATCCTAAACAGACAAGCCGCATCTAACCAAGTGCATTAACAGGAGCAACGATCCGTGATTTGATATCCCTTTACCCCTCAAAGCTGACACTGCACATCGCTTCTCAATGTAACAAGCACAGCGAGCCCCTTCGGCTCGACAACACCCATATGAGTCAAGACAATGCCAATGTATAATAACAGACGCTTCCAGAATCTAACAATTGACCTTCTTGTAGCTATCCAGGCGTCACAGTAAAACGCTGCCCGGAGTAATACTTAATACAGCTCAAGTCACATGAGAAATTCGTTCGAGGTTCCTTGTACTCGTTTGAATTTTCTTGCCTGTAGCTTACCTTGATAAATTGTTCAGGGTCTGCCCGCTTTTTTGCAGTTAGGTAAGAGCAAAGTCACATTCGATGTTGTTTTTTGCAGCGGAAGGAGAGTAGTAAAAACTGTAGGACCAATTAAAACTCTGAAAAGCCCCCGCTGCTTCAACTGCTGAAAGTGAGTGGGCACACGTTCGGCTTCCTTCAGCTAATAGGACTCGGCCTAAGCAAAGAGAACGAACATGTGGAGTTTTTTCGGATGCGACCGAGCTGTTGCACGCGGTATCCCAAAGAAGCTGATAAACCTCGGTGGTGTTCATCTATGCGGGAGTGGCCACCTTTCAGCTATACGACATCCGCAGTCGACAAGAAGTGCGGTCACGTGCAGTTGGTTCTAACAGCTGATCGGAATAATTCGACAAATAATAATGGCCGATTGAAATACATATGTCACGGAGTCTTGTACCCATTAACGACAAAGGCTACTTGTGGAATAGCTACTTACTACGATCCTAATCTAAAGACTGTTTGCAATAGGATAGAGTAAGATTTTCTGAGGACGGCCAAACCACCTTTGTACCTCAAACAATCAGAACTAGTAGGTAATAATAGCACGTAAGTAGCACCAGCTTCTTCCAGCTAATTCCACGATTTTTCGTCACGCCCTTTTTACGACCTAGCCATCGCCTCGAGTTCGGACTCGAAGAGTATGGCAATGTCTGACGGGAAAGCGTTGCATTTTCAATAGATCGTATCGATCTTTTATCGAAAGAAATTTTCGATCTAATCATAATTATAGGTTCGGGCCACATAGAGGAATTTCCCTACAAATCATGATAGAAAGGCTTATAGGTTTTACATGCAACGACAATAATTTTCTCGGGAAGATCGACGTTGCTTTTTGAGTTTCGCATGAACGAAGTGATAACATAGCAAACAACCTGGTTGATTTGGTCATCATCCTGGTTGGATATGACTGTCTGATCTACTTACTATACTAATAAGCATAGGATCCCTGCACTATCAGTCAGCTATGAAAGTTTTATATCGAACATTTAAGCAGGTAACGTTTTTTGTACACAGACATTGTAATATATATGTCATAATAAATCATATATATATATATATATATATATATATATATATATATATATGATTTATTACCATTATTAAAAGCATCAGCGATATAAAAAAAGGCAATAAGAATTAACTAATAGAGTTTTTTTGCCTACGTGCCTAAGCTAAAAAAAAATACGTTTTCAACTAAAAAAAACCCTACGTATGTGCGTATTGCTTTTATAATAATAATTAAAAATAATAATAGTCTATACATACCAAAGGTGTATGAACGCTTTTGAATTTATAAGCTTTATTTCGAACCTAGGCACGGTATGACTTGCTCGTACGATCCAATGTCTAATTAATTATCAGTCTCAACCCGGTCACTGTACCCATATATGACTCCAATACCGTTATTTTCCTATTCGCTTTTTCCTGATTGGGTTTTAATTAGCATCTTTGATGAAGCACGTTGAGTTCTTGCTGATGTTAACAGCACGAACTGTTTTCGAAAATCTTGTAGATCTCCAGCAAAAGAGGCTCTTACAACCAGCTGAGAATCGTACGGCTCCTTTTTAGTAATACGGCGCTATAGCCACGCAATAACACGACGAGCTCACCTGTCTACTGCAATGTCACCAAGCGTTCACAAGGTAGGATCCACAGAACTGTATAGATGTTACTTGACTAATACAACTAAGCGTATTCAGTCAACTTAGTGGCTGACCCGCTGACTGGAGCTGTCATCAAGAGATAATCGCCCGCTCAGCAGACAAAGACCGAGTTGAATCAGTGGCCAACTATCGCCCCATATCACTCACTGGGGCTCTTCGTACGACGACCGTTCATTACTACGGTGCCACCGCTTTTGCGCTGACTGGTCTTAGTCGCCTTCTCCTGCATTCTCTCTCCACTGCTCTTGATAGATCTTCCTTTCTCTAGGAGCAGCAGCAGCAGTAGCAGCGACACAATATACAAATCACAATGAGATCCACTTTTCCGACTCGTGTCTAGCCAGGCATCGATGGTAACGGACAGGGCACCCACAACAAACTTCTCGAACGAGAGATACTCTCCAGCTGAGCGACGGTCGACGAAGACACAGACGCTGCTCTTGTACACCACTTTCGTCAGTGGACAAATCACTAGCAGAGCCCAGAGCAATTCATCTCGACTCCGGTCAGCTTAGGTCGGAGCGGCGGCGCTGGTGAAGCCGTTGTCGAAATTACGTCATTAGGCCACAGAGCTACGTACGACCACAGGTACGGCTGTTCGTGCTGTCTGACAACGACATACGCTCACGCATTCGAAGAAGTTCGTCTTATAAACAAGTGGACGGCCAGACGGACAATCAGCTTCTGAACAGCCTATGTCAATGCTAGGTCGAGCTGGCTATACACGTTGATTTTCGATAAAAGACGTTCGTCCACGGAGCGGCGCACATCAGCACGAATGAATGGGGGAGTGAAACAGAGAGTGAGGAACGAAATATAGAGCTGCTCTTCTTAACAACTGTTCTCGAAACGTTAACGATGATTGGCGAAAGAGGGCGCCACCGGTCACGAGCTTGAAGCAGTTCCGCTTGGCGGTGACGTTCCTTGCGGCAGTCGCCACTGTTACAACTAACGTTGTCGCCGACATCTGCAACAAAGAACAACAACAGAACTCGTTTCGCACGCTATGCTCGGCAGCTAATATAACGGCGATAGCTTGTTGGTTCGACCCGCTTAGATGAGAAGGATCGACGGCAGCAGCAAACAGCCAGAAAAGACTTAACGGACAAGATTGCTTAAGACAAGATGTAAATGCTTTGCAGAACACTTGCTGGAAGGGTGATACGTGGCGGCCAGGGCGCGAGCGGCCGTTGACGTCGAGTTAGTGCAATAAAGATGGCCAAAGCAGATTTTGCTGCCGATGTCACCCTCAGATGCCTGATTCGCTTCTGGCGTGTCGCAACAGTCGAGCATGCACACCTATCAGGGAACCCGCAATTGCATATCGGCAGTGTGTTAATAAAACGAATCAAGGGCTATTTTTCGTCTATGTCGTTTTTGCCAACGCTTTCTGTGTATAATTAGAAGACAGTGAGAACGCTAAAAAAAGTTCGAATCATATTACGCTGTTGTTCATACCAGAAATACTATTGACCAGTTTACCGTACACCGTCCTCGTCATGCGTCTTGGTCTCCTGAAGCCGTCGCCACAGCGGCTTGTAGAGGCGACCGCGCTAATGTGGAATAGAGAGATCGGTTCCATATACAAGAGTATAGTCAGGCTACGACCCTCGACGCTAGTACCTGCTTTGCGCGCTGCAAAAAGTAAAAGCTAACTCAGTTTGCAGCAAAAATGAGATCTGATAAGGCTAGGAGCTGTCATTATGAATCTGTCACAGGATGCTTTTGAACGTCACCTTACGAATTCCTCAAATTTCATTCGTTCTACATAGATTACGGAAGATACGAAAACGGTTTTTTCTGGTCAAGTCGGTTAGAAAGATATGTGAATATGACTTTTATTTCCTTCCGCAGTCCTTTATATATTTAAATGGATTGCATTATTTATTGGCGGATTGCTCTATATCGTTTTTCAATACCTGATAGTACCTGAAGTGTCGTTTTAACTAGAACAACCTGACCTAGAAATGTGTACAACATTTGTATTTGTTAATAAATATCTTGCAAAATGGAACGACTAGTAATTTCAGCTATTCCAAGTGATTTTTTAACATCATAAAGTTAGATGATCATGTACTATGTTGATATTTTTGCTGGATTCTTGTTTAAAGTTCAGCGACGAAGCAAGCCGTCTCATTTAACGTATCGTAGTGATATTGGCATTGGGATAGTTGCAATACAAATCAGAGTAATGATAGTCCCGCTCACCAGCGCCGCTGCTTTGGCTTGCGTTACATTCTTGTGTGTAGTTCAATGTAAAACAGGAAAAAGTTTTTCGAACGAAACATCCGTTACTGCTGCTACTGCAGATATGCCAGCGAACATGATGATCGTTATGATTACTAATTCCTGTATAGTCTATTTTAGTAAACTGTAATAAGGAACATATACACTTTACCAAAATATCGATAGTGGTTACTTTTCAGCATCCTACGCCAACAACTTTTCTTATCAATAGGCAAACATAACCTATTTGATTGTTGAGTGAGCATCTCCCGTACCCAGATCTCCTGTTTAGACGAGCCTGCAAGCCTGACGACTGTTGCCCGCCCATGCCAGTCACAACAAGCGTACCTAGTCCGTTCTTTAAGCTCTCTTCAGAACTTAAGGACAGTATAAACATAGTAAATCTTCAGTACAGAACAACGAATATGGCCTATTCGTTTGCCTGTACTTGGTTAGTACATCCAGTGAACATCAACAGATTAAGTGGTAAGCCTGTGTTCCCGACCGTCGTTTTGAGGTTCGTTTGACGTGAGTCACGTAAACACTGTGTCGTCTTCACTGGTGATTTGTAGCATCCAAACATAATTTCAAAATTCGCTTGACCGGAACTAACCGCGCGCCAGTCGCCGTCAGATCCACGCGCTAATCGACTCGACATGAACAAAAAAAAACAAAGCATAGGCAACGATTCTTTGTTACGGTCTATCCGAATTTTTACCCCGACCTCATTTTCAATTGAGGTACAACACGTTTCGTTTCATTAGAATGATCTCCTTTACGAATAAATAAACTGGCACACTAAGTGACTGATACCACGACATTGGGCAGTAACGCAAACTAAACACAGTTTCAATTCAACCGCATCTCGACTCCGCTACAACTACGAATTTAAATATTTAAACATTTCTATATGTAGCTCCCGGTCGTTTGTTTAGCCTTTGATTCAGCACGCAGAGTCATCGAATAACGAAAAGAACTACTCTTATTTTAATTTTAGTGGGGTTGAATTGGATATAGTGGAGTAGACGCCTGGATGCTGAGTTGTTGTTACTGTGACCAGAATCGTTGATTGACTGGGCCGAGAGAGCAATACCGGATGTCTCGTCGTGTCCATATGTAATTCTTATAGTTTAGGGTGGTACGTTAGCGAAGATGTCAAATTGCGGCAATTGCCGCAGGGGCAGTCAGGCGCCCTGAAGATTGCTCAGGAATCTTCGGAAAGGCACGCGGCACCTTCTCAGTTTTACACCCCGTTTAAAGTAGAATGGCTATTGAATACGTGGTTGTTATATATGGAACGTAAAACATTAACATGTGTCAAAGAGACATTTTTAAAGATGGTATTAGATGAATAAAACGAATACATCAGTGTCACAGATGGCAGGGATCTATAACAGGTAGTGCGAAATTAAACTGATACTGTATCTAGAGAAGGTCCCCTTAACTACTAGTTAAAGAACGTTATTTTTTTACCGAAGAACCATAACGACTTTGAACGGCTTTGAAGTTTTCAGGAACGATTGATTCTGAAACTTCATTAACTTGATGGTATTGTAATTGACTATTAACTTTCTATCTGGATTACGTAACTAAAGACGATATTTTCGAGGGAAAACACGCTGCTATGAGAGCAGCGTCCTTGTCGAAAGGTGCAAGCGACTCGATTTTTATATATGGTAATGATGACAGCTTCGATTCTGTCCATACAATGATCGCCTCCAGAGTCATATGCTCTATCTGCTATTTGACGTAACTTCAGCCGTCTGTAAGAAACAAAGGTGTACCTTTTTTATTGCAAAAAATGCCTTTCCAGCAACATAAAAGGCCTACTGCACGACTAATAAGGCTTTTGCTAACGGTAAACAAAACACAGGTCCCTGCACACAGGTGGGTCGATTATCAGGCGCTGACTTGATAACAGTACGTATGAGTACCGCCTATGAGTACAAACTAAGAGCATAAAATAACTACGGAAAACATCGATCCCCGTAGTATTTACTCTGTCATGGTCAATAATGAAAAATTTGCGGGAAAAAGAAAACCGCATTAGAGTCAGTCTATCATGTATGATCCATCTTCATTTAGCCCACGCGGGACTTACAAATCGGAATTCTCGCCAGTAACAAATCAGTGATCATCGAATGCAGCCGTTTGTTTTGATCTTCTATTTTAAGACAATTATCTGATGATAGCTCGTGTCTCCTACTCACCGGCACTGCAAACCACTTCTACCCTAAAATTAGCACATACTTCGGATACAGGCTCCGCCTGTTCAAAGGCTACATACGTGCAAATACTAGGTAGAAAACCATTGACCCTAACATATTTTATTGCTAATATTAACAATTATACATGAGCAGTATATTTTTTCTACATATGTGTGGCTAAATGAAGAATTGTGCCATTTTTATGGAGCTCACATGGAATTGAAATGGCGAGCGATAGAGCTTTTGCTGTTGCTTCTGATGGCAAGTAAAACGTTTCTTTTTCTTTTTTTTTTTAGTGAATAGCAGTTTCTGATCTATTTGCAGACCAAAAGTATAGGCGCTTATATTCTAGTTAGCTAAACTACTAATCGCTCAGACCTTCATTAATTGTCCGAAAATACAATTCAACAATAGATGAGTTTCAGTTATTTTATTAACATCATCTTTTACGGTATAAATAACTACTGTATCCCGTAATCACAAATAAACATAATCACAAATGGACCCCTATTCAACAAAAAATTGATGACAAAGCATTTCTGTAGTACACTCGATTATGACAAACTTATAGTTGGTTTCTAAGTTAAGTCTAAAATAAAAGTTTCTAAGTCTAAAATAATCGCTCAGTCGGTTTGCAAGGAGTTAGTGAAAATGTCTGTTCATTTCGGGGACGAAAGGTTCGCAAGTTCTAATTTAACATATGATTTAATTGTCGTAAAGTTTTCTTCAGGAGGGTCACACTCTCTTGGATTGGCCCTCCCGAAAAAAACAAGCTTCTCTCTCCATTGCCTATTATATTCGGAACAGAAACAATCTGTTCTCATAATTTTAACTGTGAAAATCTTTCAGGGCCATAGACATCTACGAGCAGAAAGTAATCTTCAAGTAGCATCTTGAACAATATATTCTCAGGTTTGTTGAAAGTTAACTTGAGAGTTACTTTTTCATCGCTCTGTGTTGTGCAGACCGACTAAGTTGCTAACTTGGAAGAAAATGGAATTGTTCCATACTACACGACGACGCCCATTCGAACGAAATCCTCTCAAGTTCATGAGAGCCGGGCGCCATTAAAGGTCAGTTAAGGATTACAGTTACTAGGGGGTATACAGGAACGAATTCCTGTAATCTAATTTCTATAACTCCTTCGTTTTCATCTACGTGATAATGTTTCTCTGTTCATGGATCAAACACATTTAAAAGAGTTCCACGGCTATAACCCGCCGGTGAAGAAATTGTTTCAAACGTAGATACACGTCTAAATACACTAAGACTTCTTGCGGCCATGATATAGTAGATAATTAAAAGGAACGATACAATGAAATTTGCCTCAAATCTGAAGCGTATGACCCTTCTCTAAAAGCAGTTCGCGACGCCTCTACCTAATTCATAAGGCGCTTTGACGGTCAGTGTCGCAAGAGGCTATGGCCCGAACCCAAAATTTTTAAACTACTACGATTCCCTTTCCTGTTGGCTCCTATCTAAACGAGTACCATACGATAATTGCTTATGTGTGAAACGCAGAACAAGTACCGTGCAAATTTTCTTCTTTGAAGATCCTTAGGAATAATTGTCTTCTGTATATCAAAATGACTTCCGGTCGATAACGTATCTTAACAACGAGATCGAAACTTCGTTCAGCAAGGTCGATTGCTGAGATTAACTATCGTCATTTCGGATCTTAGCAAGGAAGGGGTTCTACGTAGTGAGTTATTTTGAAAAAGTTTAATCTATACACACACGCTAAAGGGTACTATTAAATACGAAGGACGTAAAAAGAGTTGAAAAATGAAGTATGATATTTGTTTTGTTATGTTGCAAATACTTATGGATGTTTCTAGACGACCTTGAAAATTTAGGATGCTGCCACAATCACTGATAAACTACTTAAGCAGGCTGCTAGTAATAGTGGGTTACACGTGGATCGTTCTTGTTTGAGTTTTGTGTGTTTTTTTGTTAATAATTCATATTTTTCCGCGTGTGGTTTTAACCCAAAACGCGTCAGCATTCCACTTTCACCGCCTGTAATTTACTGTTAAAGATTTGGACAAGTAACCGTATACCACAACTCCCATCATTGTTTTAAACACTTGGGGTTCTTCCAGGAAAAGTATTTTTGTTTTAGTTGAAAAGTTATAGACAAGCTTTTATCAAGGCAGAAAGCTAGAAGACAAGTGTCATAGCGATTGGTACGCGGTAGCCGCAGCCAAACCTGGCCAAGAAAAAGCTTCTACATGGCGTGCTCTATTTTTGGCTCTTTTGTAAAAATGAGCGTTGCCCTTCTTGCCTTCGTTATCGTATCAAATCCACTGTATAATATTACATATGTACATTTACAAAGCTAGTTGACCCTTCATGCTTCTTTTAAATGGTGTATGCTTAACAAATTACTAAGATATCTGCGAAGTTACAGGCATTCATAGTTCGACTCGAATTGCTCTATTTTGGCCAGACTGTCGCTATTGAGTTTTGTAAACATGTTTATATATTTCGCGCATCTATCGGACTCGGTGCTAATCAGAGGAAGATCAGGCACGTCAACGCCAAAGCTCCAAATATCCAGGAATCATTGAACATTTCTACATTGAACAAAAAGAGCGAAGTCCCATTGATAATAATATGCGTATAGGTTCTTCGAAAAAGTACAATGGTATTTTTTTAATTCTTGTTGTTGCCCTTGGTAGTCCAACGATTCTACGTGAGCTAAGTACACGTATTTACTTGACCATTTTTCGTGTTTCACATCCGGTCTTCCGTCGTAAGGCTCAATATTACTCTAATGGTCCAGACCCAAATACAAACAAGCACTACGTCCAGACGCATGTTCAAATACTGCTTTCTATGACGCACCGATTTAATTTATTTCTATTAATTAATTAATGTACCAATCAGCAATCACTTCAATGCATCAGGGGGCCTATGTTCACATCGAATGCAATTGGTTTCATTCAAAAGATGCTCATGAGAGGTCTGCCGGTTAAGTGACAATTTACGGCTATTCATTTGACGGTGGGTATTGCCTAGGTCGATCAAATTCTGCTTTGGCCAAGTTTCATTAGATGATAAAATTTAAGGATATTAACGGTATGGACTTACTGTGATAGAACAAGACTTTTGGTTGCAAATTGCATACGAGCATAGCAGCTTAAACAGCGATACCCAGGAAGAGATCACTAACTAGCCTTAGTGCTGGTTTCAACAAACATTTCAGCCATGCTTTTGATAAAATAATATTTTATTAGGGGTTTATTAGTGTACTCTTTTTCCGGTTATAATTATTTCGATCCATCTTCACCCAAAACCTATCAACAGCCAGTTCGTGTCGAAATTGTCGTATGCTTTTTTGCTCGCAAAGGTACACATTAGCGATGTTACACACCACCCGCACATTGGCACCATTAGCTTATCGTGAGTCGACTAAGCTACAAGCAGCTCATGTGGTCTTCGCAAATCATTCCGTTCTAGAATAGCTCCTCCATGCATTGCTCTTACAATTACAAACCCTGGTAGCGTCTCTAGAAAACTTTGAGCCAAATCCTGACCCTGAGTGCCTTGTGCATTTCCTACGTACAAAGAAATACGTGTGAATAAAGCATTCCTTTCCCGACGGGTGCACGCCATGCAGTTGGCTCTGCCCGACATCTGCTTCCCTCGAGGGACGGGCAGCACGGAAGTAATGTATTTATTTCATTTTCGTGCCTGTGCCGTCTCATCACGGGTGAGCGTTGGATCAAGCCTAATGTCTCAGCGTGTGCGAGAATTGTATTTGCATAACGCAATTTCTCCTTGTAAGTTATTATATATACCTTGTTATAGGTTTATTATCCTTTCGGAAATCGAGACGAAGGTTTAAATTGTTTTACTGCGTGTATTGTCATCGCTGGCAAGATACGTCTTGGTGAGAATATTAAAAGTGTATAAAGTCGCGTATAGTCATTATTCGTATAGCTTCCTGTTTTTAACTTTGTTCTATACGTGTTAGTTAAATTTTGTTGGGTAATACGTCCGTTATTATGAGTCGTGTGGGTAACTGGACAAACGTTTGTGGCATAGGGCCCGATCACGCCCATTTTGCTCTTAGGCGAAGTTCTGTTGACATCACCGCTCGCATCAATAGCAGACGACTTGTTTTTGATATGCGGGGATTTTCAATTATTTGGGCTAAATACTTCAGCAATTCAATAACGAAAGTAAATGGGCGAATGCTATAATCTAATGTCCATGCAAAAACCTAAGCACTCTTCGAAGTGACACAACATTTGAGGACGGAATACATTTTTCCGCCGGTAAATCGAATTTCCCTTCTACATTTGTACTAGTTATAGAAACATGTAGTTTGTTACCACGAAATCTACCAATGTGTTTACTAGTGCTACGACTTCTCTGTCGTACCAATTGCAGGTTTTGACATCGCTCACCAATGGCAGTTAGCCGTATCGCCTGCGACGTACTCATATCTTACGCAACAATGCTGCTTTTCGTATTATCTTCAGCCTGATGAAGCCGCTTCTTCACGCTGCAGTTGTTAGGCGAGGGTATTTGCATGGTGACGAATTAGATTATCTGTATTAGTACATTAGTCCTGCTATGTTATCGAAAGAGTACGGCGGAGGGAGCGACGAGCTTAAACAGGGAAAGTCTGTTGAACTGTCTTGATACGGCTATCGGAGGCCGCGCCGCCATTAAAACCTAGACATCGACTAATAATCTATGGATGTTATTTAGAACAATCGTCTTAAAATGACTAAATTGCACCAGCTGGATTACCAAAGATCATTCAAAGTTTTATCTATTACCTGGTACATAAATACGTATTTTTACTTTTATTATCTCTTCGTAAGAAAGAACCTTTCACACTGTAAAGTTAATGTCGGCGCCTTATAGAATGCATTTAACAATAAAGCTGACTAGTTAAAACAGCCGATTCTAGCGCGGTTGTTGTTTCGATAACATAAAGTCTTAATTATTGTGGTAACATGCATAGGATTCTGGGTGTAAAGTTGGCTGGCCATACAACTGCTGGTTTCGAAAAGGACTCTCGAAGGTACCATGAAGACTTCGTATCTAAACTGTCAAATAGAAATCCGTCGGTAAATTAAGACAATATTTTCTAGGTTGTGTCGGTATTTAGCCGTATTTGTTCAATAAGCCTTTATCACTCTAAATTTCGAGCGTTGCTTTTCATTATGAAAATAATTATCATGAACGCTTCGGCTATAGAATTTAGTTTATTACTAGATAAAGAATACGATACATAGAATATGATACGATAGATGATCAAAAATGCCCAAAAAAATGTGGAACTTGTATGAAAAAAAGATATCTAGTTAACGTGCTAAAAATTCAATATGCGCTTTCTTTATGAGTTCATTAAACATATGCCATAGGTATATTGAAAACATCTCTGTTCCGTTGCATAGTAATAATACTTAAACACATAATTCGAAATTTTATTGGATCAGTTCAGATCAAAAATATATCTGCTACGATCGGGACTAGTTGACACAGGCCCGTTCCCAAAATATAATTCAATGCCCAATATCAAGCGTATCCCGACGCCTTACCTATGTTGATCTAGCTCATGGTTCGATATAGATTGTCTAGCTTTTCCACTATGGTCGAAATATAGCCCAAATATCGTTTGATTTTTGTGTAACTTGCTCATATAGAGCATAAAAGAGCTACAACGGTTGTCCTAGAATACTTGTGTATAAGTAAAGCGCCTTTCTGTGCTAACTGTAGTCCTCAGATGGCAGAGAGCAAGCTCTAATGATCTCAGGTGCAAAAATCGACTCCGAAATCTCAAATTCAATGCAAACAATGGTTTAGTTATCCAAACCGCTATCCCAAATAGTCTTCAATGACTTCATTGTCTACAGTCCGTTGTCTGGGTTGCGCCCTCTGCTAACCATGATCCATACGCTCACGGCTTAACGAGTCTGACTCTGTGTCAGACGAGTTCATCAATTATTTCTTCTTACTTGATTTGGCACAATGTATCGGCTTTACATATATCTAGGCATGGATCATCCCAGAGGTTTTTTGAGTGCGTATCCTTAAAAACCTCTTAACAAGAGGACAGTTTAATAGTATGCGTATTTTCTAGAATCGTGGTAAATCATGTGATCGGAGCAAGAAAAAACGCATATCTTTTATACTAATATTCGGCCAGTTCGCACAGCTATACCCTGTGTCCTATTGTGTTTATATGAATGCCATTTTTATCTAACAAGCACTTTTAATCCGTGATTAGTAACGTCATTATTCCCTAAACGCGCTACGATCATCAAACTTCGGCCTATTTTTAGCTTGTCGTTAGAGGTCGTATTGCTCTCCTCAGTAAGTCTTTGTGAGGAAGGTCTTGATGTTCGCGAAGTTCCTGATCCAGGTAAGTAATGACCTTTTCATATGTTTTTCTGCAAGAAAGGAAACGTACTCACATTACCTAAGCAGGTAGACAAGACCTAGGTTGCACTAGGAATAAAATCGGCAGCAATCTCGCGAAACCATCTTCGTAGATCTGCATTTACAGACCCTATTTGTTTATGAGGCGAACGCATATACCAACAATAAGCGATTTAATCTCCTACCTATTTTTGTGAAGTTGGAACGCTCTTTTAAAGGCGACATTGTGCAAATAGTTAGCAACACGACGATGCCAATGACAGGTAGTTGACGCGGCCAAAGATGCCTTGGCTATCTGATTACACGTATATCGATAAAATACAGATCGGTGGAGCTTCACAAAGTTCAACAGATTTTTCTCGCTGAGATTCGAATCATCCGCGTAACTCTAATCAAAACATTAAAAAAAAATGTGAGAACACGGCTAGGATAACTAGGCTGTTACAAGCAAATCCGGCGAACCTTCGAAACTGACTATTTTCAACTAGCCGAACCATACCGGGCAGTCTTATGCCAATCGGGAATGTTCCCATACGCGATTTCTCTGCCTATCGTTTTTCGAAATTGAATCAATAATGGGATATGTTGTCCGACCAGTTGCCCCCTTTGAGTATGGGAAGCCCCGTAATCGTACCGACTTAGATCGGGCTAAATGATTTTTGCTCAATCCTGGAAGTAATTGAGACATGGTGATAAAGCATGATTTGTGTTTTTGGCCAGGCGTATTCTTTTCTAGTTTAAGTTTTGAAAATTGCGCGAAAATTCATTCTTGAAACGTTTGTATCATTCACGTACTATGGTTTAGTCAAAGACCTCCTTACCTAATGTCTTCGCCAAATTTCAACTAGCTTTTTTTTGTTATATACCATAATTGAAGTTTCCTTCTACATGTTACAGCATCTGAAAGATGCCGTTTTTATTCCCCTCAACAGTAAGCTCTATATTCTTGTTGCACCACCAAAGCTTTCCTATTTAACACGCTACAATTTCTGAAAGCAAAAAACGATTACATTATCTAAATTCATGCGCGTCGAAAGTAGTAGATATCATGCGGACACACGTTGCGAATATATTGTCTACTCGCCCAAAGCGTATGTAATACAAGCTTGTTACCCGGAAGCGTACGGAGCTCTCGACTGCGATCTCGAACATGTTCCGGAACAAGCTAGACAAGTTATGGTTGTTGAAATGAAACAATCCGAGAGAATATGCCCAACTACTTGTCGCTAGCAGGTAGCTTAAGGCCTGGACCGGCGGTTTGAAATGCAGCTCCTTATAGTAGCATCTGTTGAAGTGTCACAGGTTAGGATTTTCGTATTTCATAAAAAGCAAATACAGCCCACAACCGGGAGATATTACGTCCGATCCTGTGTTAGTATATACATTTGTACGAAATAGATATTGCTTCGAATAATCATAATCATAAGAGTAATACAAATAATTATACAATTGTAGAAATGCTCCTTAAAGTAAAACATGAATTTTAATTTGTTCAGATAAACATTACACCTATAGGAACATCGGATAAGTCAAGCATAGTTAAGGCTAAAAAAGGATAGAATAGATAATATATGCAGTAGATACCTGCAGTCATGAAGAAAAGTTTTGTAGTCCTTTGAAGGCCTCACAGCTCCTGAAGTGCAATCGATCTCCACACCACAGTATGATATAGTTAGTGGGATAACGTCGTTTTCAGGAGTTGCGTCATTGTTTCCCGGTTTCCAGTTGAGCATCAGTTTGCTTTTCGAAAACTGTAGTCCAGGATGATGCATCTCATTTTCGCTGGTTTCGATGTAAACAACGAAAGAAACTGTTGGATATTTGGGACGCGGAATGAAAGGTATACTCGAAGAATCAATCTACGGGGTGGTAACCATCACACTTCCATCTCGGTGATCACACATAGTAGACGTAATGTCTGAAGGACCAAATTGAGCTCGAATGCTAGGAAGAGACTAAATAAAATCAAAAGCGGGGTCTCTCTCTACGACTGCTTCTATTTCGACATGGCGCAGACCACATATTCATACGAACGACGAAGAAAGGCACATCCATCCTGATGGACAAGACAGAGTCAACTGGCGACAACCAAGCAAATATCTATTGACAAGCTGCACATACTGGCAAAAGCAAGGCAAGCAATTAATAGGCTTCAAACATGACATCCAGGCACTTCCATCTAAATATTTATTGAGGTATCTATTGTAGGTCGTAGCCATTCTGCAATAGTCCAGGAGACGTGCACCTATATGTACTAGAAGGTTGCTGGGCTGTCTTGAGAGTAATATATAATGTAAAAGTAGCGGAGTGCGAAAAGGAAGTATAGAAGCTTTTTTTCCGCAAGTAGATTAAGTGGATAAATGTTCTCATTAGACGGTGGATATATTTCGTTTAAGATAGGTAAAGGCAAAATAGAGACTGGTACGTTGCCCGTCTTCGATGTAGAATCTCGCCCTCGTCTATGAGAATTTAGTCGGTCTATTAGAACAGAAGGTAAACGACGATTTTGACGGGAGACCATGGGTAACACCCGTACGAAGTATTTGAATTCTTGACGGCGCACAGTGAGCTCCGAGCTGACAGTGAACTGCCAAAGGAAACATAATCTTTTGCCAAAACGGAGAAGAAGTGCTTTTGTAAAGGTCCCAATCCCATGGGCAGAGACAGTGGGCAAGACTTTGTCGGCTTTTCTGAATGCAGTCGCTTGATTGTAACGCTCTTATTTGCTTTAAAAAGCTTGCGTCGACAAGAGGTTGACGCCGAACAAATGGTGCCAGCTTATGAAACTATCCATCTACTATGACATCTGATCACCGTTCAACGGGCCTATTGGTACATTTATCTGCGCATAAATGTGTAATAGGGCCTTTTTTTGTGGCGTGTCTTAGTTCCAGGACCTTTCAGTGTTGAGATGATCTTTGATATCAAATGCTTTCGGAAGGCGGTAGCCCTGCTCAAAATAGCAACTAATGCTATTCTTCCTTCGATCAAATAAGGTTTTACCTAATTAACTAATCTATTGGTGCCGTTCGTTCAGGTTTTCGCGTGTGTGCTATTGCGAATTCGTTTATTGTGGAAATGTCCTGCAACTTCACGATTACGAAATGGTGTTCGCATGCTTCAATATTTCGGCTAAAAAGGGCAGAAAATAGCACCAAACCGAAAATGAAGCTCTTTTTTGTCTTAGCAGTGATAAAAATTTGAAATGACCTTTTTAAAGCAGTTCTTTTTAAGCATTTTTTATGCATGTAAGTTGCGGGGGAACTTGTAACTCTTCATTTTGAAAAACAATGTCAACTAACACATGGCAGTATTTTTTCTTTCAACTACTTACAAAATAACCCGAGCACGCCGAGCATTATCTAGTCGGTTTGTAATAACAAGGTAGTCGTCCATTGTCCTGAACACAACGAGGTTGTCCACCGCTGAGTTACAGTTTAGCGAATTGAATCGTTCAAATAACACATCGACAGTATATGTCAAATAGAGATCAGCCAGAAACGATGAAGGCGAAGCTCCTTGAGGTAAGCCTCGGACAAAACTGCAATAAACAAGAAAACAGTTCGAAATGAAAAAAAGCCTAGGTGATGATTGTGTAATAAATGAAGTGGCATCAAAGCCAACAGCAAAAATTATCGTGTATAATAATTTATAACATTGATTGCATTTCCGAGCAATTGAGCCTCTAATCCTCTATGACCTCTTTTATATGAACTGCTAAAAACGATGAAACTTTGCTGCTCTGGTCTATTCTTTCTTAATCTGTTTGATTTACTATATGGTTGATTCATTCCAGCATACAATTCTTAATCATTTTATCATATTTGTCGTCTGTTATTTTTCTGCTTTGCCTTGTTGTCCTTGTCAACAGTTATACCGGTTTCACAGGCCCTAGTTGAAAACGAAATTAGAAAATATACTTGACAATGCTAAACAATAGTCTTTAGGAGCTAATCAGAGAGAGCGAGAGAGTACTTCATGTTACCATTATTATTATCTATTCGACGTATCAGTGATGAAATACAAATAATCTTCGTGTAATATTTTTCAAATACTACCGATAACATCGATTGTCCAATGAAACGATGAAATTGTCAATCGTATGAAGAAGGCGGGCTTTTTCTTCTGAGCCCTTAAGATATATTGTTCTGTCCGTGGGGACCAAAATCGAAACTCTTCCTTCCAGTAGGGGCCAAGCAAAAACGTGCTCCTGAAGAATATTTATTATCCGCGCTTTTAGCATAGGCTTTAAAGGGATGTCTACCTCTTTAAACTGCAACGCTGTAAATACACAACGCAGCAAAAATCAATAAAAAAAATTGTTGAAAAACGTTGTTCCTAATTTGCAATATTCATCCAGTAATGGTAAAGGGTAGAAAATCCAATCGCAAACGATTATATAATAGATTTGACGAATCCAAACGTAGACCGCGGGACTTAGCTGACGCTAAACGTCTTCTAGGAAGCCTGGTCGACTACGCAGGTGATTACGTGAAAACTGTTCAAAATATAGCTGTTTTTACATAAGAGCTAGTTTTCTCTGAAATACTCCAATAGTATTTGCGTATACAAATATGTTAGAGATAAATAAAGTTAATGAAAAATAGGCCAAGCAGCTATTTTCACTGTTGGCCTGTTACGAACTTATGTTGATAGTTAGACGCTTCTTCTCGGCTACAAACTCATGCCTCGTCGTGTAGATTTACATTTTACTTTTTGTGTATTAATGCCATATATAGGTTAGATTTCTACTTATTATATCCTTTAACAAAGGTGTTGGATCACCTTGTTGACCGGTAGGCCAACGTCGTTCGATGATTTCTTTTAGATCTGCGTGGTTCACACTACCGTAGCAATCTTTAACATCTGCTCTTACGATGTAAAGGGAACCCTTTGAAGCGATAGCGCTCAGTCGCTGAAGTGCTAACGAAGTGTTTAGACGACAGATTGGACCGCGTCTGAAATTAAAGACAAAGACGATTTTCGAATTAAGTTTCCTTTTCTACATAACGTTTATCACAGTCAAAATATAGCAATTAAATTAAAGCCATCCGAACGACTTATAAAATTATGCTAATGAATAGTGATTTCTTTATAAATGGGTATATAACAGCCGTTGTTTTACTTTTGATTTGGTATTATACACTGTTTCAGTTTATCTAAGCGTCTTTATACGCGTTCGGATTATTCTATACCTAATTTTTTATATGTCATCCTCATATATGTAGTACATACAACCGAGTATATGCGCGCGCTTTGATTGCTTCTATATACGTCCGTGCAGTCTTTGAGAAGGAAACCATTTCGGGAAATTGATTGAGCATCGGCCGAAATTTGAGAGGATTTAGTTTGGGAAAAGGTCGTATGTTCCCTATAGGGCATCCGCTGGAGGGCTCCAGATTATCGCGAATTAATTCCTCTAGGCATCGTTTGCGATTATTACGAAATTGTTCTGAACTCCCGTAAATTGCCACTTTCGGCATGCTTCGTCGGTTTGTAACGACCACGGCAGCGTGGACGTTTAACACGATAAGTCTCATAATCAGACAGCACAGAGATTCTACTAGCTTTGCTTGCTCACTTAGACCTTCGATACGTTTTAGCCAACGCGGTATCTTAGCGCTAGATACAGAAAGCCTTCGGCGAAACTCCGCACCAGATCCATAGTCGATAAGGGTCTGGAGAAGTAAGCGTAAAAAGCTTTCCATACGAGATGCTGTTCGGGTAAATAAAAGGTTTTTCGGGAGGACCCGTCGTTGAAGGGCAATTGCACCCATGACAATCAAATCTGTCGGAATCTCAGAATGGTCTCCAAATTGCATACGCAGAAATATCGTATTAGCTTTTGTATTCAGAAGATTCGCTAGTGCTCGGACAACGGGGTGGCCTTCCACGAATACATTTCTAGATAGCAGAACCCTAATTTCCGGAGTCACGGACTCCCACCAAAAAGGCAAGGTTTTTCGAAGGAAATTGGCTTTATCAGTGGTGAAATAGTTCCGAAGTTCAGAAAGTTCAACGCAAGCCTTTTCACTTGTTAAACCAAATCGTTCAATGATTATATTGTTCGCCTTTTCAAGTCTATCCTGGCCTTCGTTAACGTTTTCGGAGAATTGTATTTTCTTCACTGCGCGTGCCACGTAATGCAGGGTAGACTTCTGCTGATATAATGGCGGTCCGCTCATTTGAACATAGTAAGTTACCTGCGGGTCAGCTACAAGAACTGTCTTATTGTTTAAGGCTTCTGACCATACATCGATGAGACCATTCTGTTTCAACAAATTGTCCAGTTCGCCCCGAAAACGGTTCCTGTTGAGAAATCCAACAATTTTTTGCGGCGATATTCTGCGATACGGCCCTTGCGGACCTAAGTCGCTGAGTACGAGCGTAGTTTTTAAGAAATGCGTTAGCTCCGGGGAGAGATTACCAACCGCTTTATTATTAGAGATAGCTTCGAGTGTTGATATCTGAAAATAAACAGAGTCATCCCGCCGTACTTAGTTAATAGGGGGTTTGAATGTGTAAGTAACATTTATAGATAGTAAGCATGTGTTACTTGAACTCCAGGTAACATGAAATGTTTGTAAGCCGTTCGTTTGATACCGTTTATATGTGATAATCGTTCACAGGCACACCCTTTAACGTACAAGTATAGTACAAATGTCCTTTTATTAGAAAAGGTCTCATGTGGTACTATTAGGGTACCTTACTAGAATACATACTATTAGGGTGTGTATAAGACAGACCAAATGTCAAGCATGAAAATTATTTTGGAACATTAACACCTCGGATGGCCGAGCTGAAGAGTACCTCTGAGGGCTTCTGAGTAGACTACTTCGAATAGGGTTATTCAGTACTCAAAGATCAACATTACGTTGGGCCTTAGTGGCACTACCAAGAATTATTTAGTCTTACAAAAATTTTACACCGCAATAAACAAAAACGTTTCGCAAGTTTATTTTGTATACATTAATATAAAGTTTTGCCAAAAAAAAATCTAACAAGCCAGCAGAAAGATAGTTCACACACATAGCTAAATTAATCGTGTTTAAATATTATATCAAGCACGGAAATCCATATAACCGGTGAATACGACAATGTGCAACAATACCTGGCAGGATAAGCAGGCTTCAAGTCCCTGTTTGAAGTACTCCATACTTCCACGGTAATCTATGAGAACCAATAGATGAAGTCTAGCAATTGTAGTTCACTTGCGAACTTGAAAAGGCACGCTGCTTAGGGCTCGCCGAAGAGGCTCGGAGAAATAACTATTTTTGGGTATCATCTACCACTATCTCACCATAACACATAAACAGGAGCCGAGGAAAAATCGACCGTTCAACGACGCGTCTTGCTACGCTGACGCAATTTTATTGTGAGCGTGCAGTGGTGACGTTAATGAATCGACAATTGATCTACAAAATGATTTAGCGATACTTGATGCGCCATCGGGTATCAGACTTGCAGTCGCGGGACGGACTGGCATAAGGAAGCCTGTTGTTTAAAATACATTCGTTCGTTTTGCGCCTACTCACACAGAATGGACTGTCTAAACATTCGAATTCGAGACATCCTCGTACCATATTCATTTACAAGGAAACAGAGCTGTCAGACGTTTCTTTTCCGTGTGTCCCTCAACTTTTCCGTGAAAGAAGTACTTATCTTTCAATGTGATTTATATGCTACATGACATATAATCTATGATGTCATTAAGAATGAAGAAAATTCTTCGGTAATATCTCAGCAATTGTTCTGCGGCTACATGGCAGATTTCAATATTTGATGTTACATTCTATTTAGCATAAACTATTGTTCGATTGCAGACCGAAACCTTGATTTGTGCCCGTTAGAGTTAAATCACCGTTTCGGCAAAAGGTATCATTATAGGTAGAAGATGAAAGAAACCGGTCCAGTTCAATCTTGTGTCTGTCTCGCATCTGCTGTAGGTTTATGGCCAAACGTGTCACCTTCGTCAATTATCTAGCCAAACAATCCTAATTACAAAACAAAGCCTTGTCCCCTTCAACCTACAGCATGTTATCCACGGAGCAGCGGATCAAATCGTCCATAATATTTTACTTCTCCCCGCTGTCATCGAATTTGCTGCAACGGCGATGGTATACCGCTGGCCACTGGACATTAACCGGCTGGAAGGTAATATATCTACTCACAGCATATACATCGATTGTAACAATGTGTGTGTATATACATACTGCGTTTTCTACGCAAGTTGAAAACTTGTACTTTAGCTGGTACTTCAACGCGGCACGATTATAAAGTTCAATTTCATTGTTCATTAAAATCTCGCTGATACGGTCCCTTGAACTGCTGGTTGACCCGACTCAGCTGCACAAGTAGCTAGCGATAGCATTGACTGCAGGGTACGTGGCGCTCTTTATTTGAGAAGATCTCACAGAGAAAAATTTTTGGCAACTACATCACATCAGAACCTGCTTCTGTCGGAAGAGAAAAACATTGAGTATCATTTTAACCTTGGTTGAAATTATATTTTTTGTAGTGACATTATTATTGACATCTAGAAAATATTCTGCTGTCACTAAATACTCAGAGAGATCTTATTCCCGGTGTCAACATATTGTGGCAGGCAAAAATTTAAAAACGGCTGAAGATCATTAGATTGAAGCCTAATCGCTAGCGTACGCCACCTTTGTACGAAACTTTAGAGTGTCCGTGTTTTATATGCATCCAAAATACTTCGTCATCATTATCTTCTTAAACAATAATATGACTACGTGTCTTGCAACAAGGCAAGATCGCGTATTTTTTGACGCGGGTTTCGAACGGTCGCAGTTTCGAAATCGGTGGGCAGCTTCGAGCCAACGTGTTCGATTGGCAAGTGTTGTTACAGTTCCGTTGCGCGCCCGTTATCATGTGCCGAAAAGAGGGCATTTTGCGATAACGTAGACGTCAGCTACAGGCTTGCCTGCATCGCCTGATCGTTTATGATGGACGACCAGAGTTACTTGATCATACGACATTCGATATTGTGCATCCGTTCGTTTTCTTGTGCGCACATGATTTATTGGCAGCTAGAGACCATGCGCTAATGGCTGTGCAAGCTTCACACCAGAGGCGTTCCATGACGCTACGCTAGGACACTGCGGCCGGTAGTCATGAGTCGCGTGTCTACAAATTCTAGAGACGGCTCTGTCTTTGAATAGTCGCAGACAGTAGGTAAATAGAGAGCAAGCGAGGTAATAATGAAGATGCCTAAATCCGCAAAGGGACTGAATACGGATCATATTCGGTGAGTGACGCACAGTAGGTTCCAGTGAATAATCCAAGCTATACATATGTTGTCTGTGTTTAAGAGAAGACTACGCAACGACCACGTGTTCACGTTACGGGATAATTGACTACGTCCAGTGATGCTTCGAGTTCGAGGAGCTGTTGTTTAATAGAATACAATGAGAATTGTAGGCTTTCATATCGAAAGTTTCAATGACCAGTTTCTTCCATCTGCTACTTTATCTAAATTATTCGCTATTTGTTCTGAACTACTCGCTTCTCTACTGTACCTAGTTAGTGTCCTACAATTGCACGGTAAAATTGATATCTTCCTATTCGTCGATGTTTACCATGTAGCATGGACTAGCTTTAGCAGTCGACGCGTGTACAACGAAGCTTTCCAAGTATAATTAGCAGAAAACGTTTTACATTATTTGCTATCTGATCAATTTTTTAGTGATGAATGCCTCTATCCTAATCTCGAATTTACCGTCCAAGTATTCGGGGATATAACGGTGGCTCGCGTGCAAGTAGAAACATTTCTGGAAGATGTTCGGTCACGCTTCATCTCGGCCTACGAATTTAAACAGCTCATGCCCAAGCCACCTGCTAAACACTACGAAGATGAATCTTATCTTGTAAGTATCTCTATCAACAGTACAACGATTGGCGTTACTATTACAATTATCGCTTTGTTTATCTAACCGCCTAGATTTTAGATTTTATGCAACACTTGCGGCAGCATCATGGCGCGGCATCGGCACTCGCCTCACAAACGAAAAGCCCTTGTCCAGCGGAAACCTGTATCATTTATTTGAATTAAATTATATCGGGTTAGTCTTTCGAACATTAAGATGGTCAATTATCAAATGACCATTAAAGTTCTGCAGTTTGAGCGATTTCAACGAAAATACCTACATTGACAATGGCTAATCATATTGTCATCCATGCATTTATTGTTGGCAATGTTTTTTGCATGAACTTTCAGTTAATTTATGCCTTGACAGTTACCCACAAACTGGCTACTTACGCGCTGACGCGATATCGCCTTTTGCTTCACTGGTGCATGCGCTCGAGGTTATGGGTCTTCCCGTCGGATCAAAGGGCTGTCAACTGGGATCGTTCACACACCCTGCACAATACCATTATCTCCATCGGTAATCTTGTCGGTACGTATTATCTATTTACATCTTCGATTTACCAGCATCACTGTCAATTTTAGGTAACATCCTTATTGTTCCCTCCAGAGACATTTGTTTCTGGTATTTTAAACGATACTTTCGAGGATTGCAGAAATTAGTTCGGGTATTTTGCGTTCGGTGTCTGAAATACAGGCAGTTGATGTTTCTCGTTGTGCGTACACTCCTTCATATCTTCCTTACGATTTTGTACCGCAGCATACTAAATGCATTAATTCTTATTATGTATATATGAAGGACCGTCAATATTTATGGAACACAATGTTTTGGGGACTGCAACGACAATCCTTGAGCATTCAACCCAGAGTCTGGACATTTTCATGGATCGACAAACGGCAGGAATGTTGAGACTTTCGTTACGCTATAATCAGGTAAAGCTGCTAACACCGGACAAATGTTTAAATGGAACGTTTCGCGGATTAACGAACCGATAAATATAGAATAGATATTTCGTTATATGTCAACAAGGCACAAAAGTGTATCTATCATAAGTCGTCGTCACATTTCCGATATACCTTTTCATCAAAACTAACTGATATGATAAAACGACGGGTACATTATAGAATCGGTTCTAGTGATATATAGGTGATATCCCTTCTTATCAGGACTCTTTTAAGGTCAACTATTTCACCACCCTGCTATATATTAACACAGTGTAACTAACAGCTGCGAACGTCTGTTCCGATTAATGCTGTCATACAGGTTCGACGACTGCTGGTCTACGTAATAGACTCGACACATGCTGACCTGTTTTTCCAGCTGAAAAGCGTAGCTCTTATGTCCCATGTCGACGCTCGGCAACTTGGTAGCCAACAGAGGGCCGCACGAATCGGCCGTCTTGAATTGCAGCTAGAAGATATAGGCATGATGCAAAGACTGCACGATCTACAAATCATTTGTGGTCCTGAAGCACCTTCGTCGACCCATTTTGGTGTTTGTCTCACCATGCGAATACATGTCCATTGTTCAACCGAGGTGTTTGATGGCGATCAAATTTACAGTTTTTACAGAAAAAAAATGTTTATGTATGATGATTGTAGGATTTGCGCTGCTTTAACCAATATTTAATAGCGTAACGCAAATATAACTAAGCCTTTCAAATAAGATGAGGTCTCAATGAAAACGGAATACTATTCTTCGTAACTTCGTAGTTACTAGAAGTGATACGGGCAGCCAAAGAGCGCTTTTACTATCACATACTTTTGAGACCCTTGTATAACGAAGTATCGCGCATTTAATTTGAACGAATTGTAGTTGAATTCACATGGATTTCGGAAAGTGGTGAATTCCAAACAAGAAAGGGATAAATGGAAGTCGAGGTATTTGCAGGCTAAAGTTATGCCGCTCTTCGGTAGGTAATGATCAACATGCTGTCCCGCCTGTCGCGCAAACTTTTGGCCTACGGCGAGGTAGCCTTTTGTAACGTAGATCGACGTGTGCTCGCGCTGCCATGGGCATTCGATGCCCACTGGCGGCAGAATCTCATCCAACAGCTTTCAACGTTTGACAACCAGTATGCGGTGTGTGCCATCTTCGCCTGGAGCAACGAGGCAAGTGCTACTGGATAAAGTTTGACCGAATTTTCAGAGCTTTGCATATAGTACAACATCATACGTATACGGCAACACGTGAACAAGAGGCACTATTTAGGTGCCCCCTGCCCCGTTCCATCTTAATATGATTTGCTTATTATACTTATGAAATAAAGGTAAATTGCTGCTAGCACTATAGGTACCTGATCAACTGAACTTTAACTTCTCGATGGCCGACGTGTTCGCACTCATCGTTTCAATGGATCGCAAGGCGCCCCAGGCATTGTACAAGGCCTTACGCAATATTTACACGGCTCTTGAAAACGGAGCCATGGTCAACTTCGAACGAGCGCTGCGAACTCTCTTTGCGCGCTACGATTCGGCCACCGTAATGAGTCCTACCGGCTATGCTTACGCCGATCCCCTGGAGGACCAGCACGATCAACCGTACGTTCCAGGTAAACTTTTCTTCCACCTCTCAGGAGTCCTTATTCCCGATCGTACAAACCTCGGGTTCGTTGTATCAGGTAAACGGAGTTCAATTTCCAGGTACTACGTACGTGCGTCGGATATTCATTACTCCAACGCGAATCATTTTGCGCTTTGCCGAACTTCATACGCAGAATCGAATTCTTCGTCACTTCTGTCCCGATCACGCTGTGCGTGTCAGTTTCCGTGACGACAATCTGGATAAACTGACGTTTGCCGTTTTTTCGATGCGAACAAAAGATGTATTTCTTGAGCAGATCGTCGGAAGGCACCTAGAACATGGATTTGTAGTGAGTAGCTATCGCCCATCAATGATTGTTAAAGTGATTGATTGTGAAGAAGCTGCTAATTGAATATTCGTTAAAAAGTAAAATAGCGATTGATGTACGAATCACTTAGAGTCGACCTCCAGACCAGGCGAACCACGCTGAAATCAAGCTTTTACTAGGCTGTTATATTGTAGGCGCTGTTAAATGCCATATTCATTTAACCACGCGAGCCAGTGTCGTCAACAGCATATGTAATGCTCTTCGATATGAGCTTATTCAACGTTTGAGTTGAAAAAAAAATTACTGATTAAAGCAAAGAATTTCGCTGTGTGTAGAAAAAAAAAATTTAAGCCTGGTACCTCGGTAAAATAACCTACCGCCATTCCTCCGTCGTTTCGCTGATGTAATTGTTTTCCAATGACAACATTCAGATCGGACCCCGACTGTTCCAGTTTGTAGCGGCGTCCTCTTCACAGCTTCGAGATCACGGCGTTTGGTTTTATGCTCGAGATAATCTTGGCCGCACCGCTGAATCTATTCGGCAATGGATGGGCGACTTTCATCATATCAACAATGTAGCTACCAAAATGGCTCGTATGGGACAGTGCTTCTCATCTACCCAGGAGACCGTTGAGGTATGGGCATACGCAATACATTTTGAGGCGTGACTACTACACAGGGTCATCCTTTATTATGTTTCCACTACAACTGCAGCAAATTCTTAAGTTGGATTGCATTTTCGACTTATAAGAACATATGATTTTAATCCTTTAATAGAGAGTACACATAGCGGAAAATTATAGAATCTGTGTTTAAATCATTTTGTTGGATTGTTATACAAATATCTAACGTGCTTTGCTAACTCACTATTTAAAGATATCACTATTCAATGTGCGTCATGTTTATTACAATGCTTGTTCATGAGTATAATACAATGACCTAATAGCATTTTATTGCTTGTACTTTCGCCGAATGTCTGATCTCCAGATTCGTCAAGAAGAAGAACTTCTCTGGGACGATATTGAGCGTCCGGAAAGCGTTCATCCACTGTCCGGTCGGCCGTACTGCTTCTCCGATGGCTGTGGGAAAATTTCCCTCGAGCTAATGCAGCAGGTATGGCGGACACTGCCTCGCGGGGCCAGTGAACTGCAGCCATCCGCTTTACAGATTCGTTACCGAGGTTGCAAAGGGATGGTGTCACTCGATCTTTCTTTACCGGGTCGTGCGCTCGTGCTCCGAAAATCGATGCTGAAGTTTCGTTGTGATTCCCCAAGAAAGCTCGAAGTAATCAAATGGTCTGCACCAATGGTAATGTTTCTTAATCGACCATTGATTGCTATTCTCGAGCATCACGGGATCGATGTTGAAATTTTTCTTCGACTTCAACTTAGTATGATTCTACAGCTGGCCGATTCACTCGTGTGCGAAGGGGCAGCGCTACGAACCCTCACGAGCTTTGTCCGGACGCCCGTTCCGTTCGCAGGACTCGCGGCAGCCGGTTGGCAATTGGCTCGAGATCCGTTTATCATCCAAGTGCTATACGATTTGCTGAAGAATGCGCTCATCAATCTTAAGGACAAGGCCAATGTAGCCATACCGGTGAACGAAGGCCGGAATATGCTTGGAGTTGTTGATGAGACGGGTTGTCTTGAATACGGCGAAGTGTTCATCCAATACACGGAACTGCCCTACAATGACGTCAGTATTGAAGGCTTACTATTTGTAAGCTAATACAGTTTAAGATATGATCGTACTTTCAGAGGTATTATTGAACTTTTCTAATAAACTTACGTTTATTTGTAACTTTAGCTAAAGTCTAACGTATCCGAGACTTTCCCCTATAATGGCTCGGTGCTGTACACTCTCGTAGTACAAGTAATTATAACTTAGCTTGGTTAATCTGCTTAACTTTTCCGCAAATTCTAGTCGCTAGTTTTCTCCATGTGATATGTGGGTGCATTGATTTCTTTCTATAGGCTGGCCAAGCACCTGTGCGAATTTTAGAGGGTGATGTGGTGATTACGAAATGTCCTTGTCTGCATCCCGGGGACGTGCGACGCCTTCGAGCCGTCGATGTACCCGCTCTCCGACACATTCGCGACTGTGTCGTCTTTCCGTCAAGCGGAAAGGTTAGCTGCAGATGGCTGACAGTTTCAACAAAAATCGACTGCAATGTGGCTCATTAGATTTGTGAGCTTTCAATTTTTCTTATACAAGCCTATCTATTCGAGCGTTCCATATAGTACTCAGAATTACAAAATTGCGCCTTTGACTAACGCATAGTAATATCACGCATCGAAAAAAGTTTCAAAATCATTCACGTTTTCTGTATAATGTCCTCCTATCAATCGGCCAGGCACCACATCCATTCGAAATGTCCGGTTCAGATCTCGACGGTGATGAGTACATCTGCATATGGAAACCCGAACTCATCTTCGAAAACAATGTTGACCCCTATATTTATGATGACAAACCCCTAGGAATAAACCCATACTCGGTAAGACACGGCTGTTCGTCGCGCCAGTAGGTGCCTATAAGCGATATCTGCATCATGCTTGATTAGCGGCTAGCTTGATTCTCAACAATCTACGGAACAACTCATGCAATAGAGTACAGTAATTCCAAGCACTATAAATAGTGACAATATAATAACGCTATCTTGGTTAAATTTCATTTCCATTCCCGCCCCCTTTTGCCGGTGCAGCACAATCTGAATGAAATAAAGTTCCTGTGTAACTACATTGGCAATGACATCATCGGCATCATCTCAAACGCCCACTTAGCATGGGCCGACCAGGCTGGTCTCGGAGCAGAGATGTGTCAGACGTTGGTTAGCAAAGCTTCGAAAGCATTGGACTTCGCTAAAACCGGCGACGCTGTTGAACTCTACCCGAATGAAAAGCCTGACAAGTTCCCCGATTTCATGGAAAAGGGTGACCACAAACATTCATATCCATCTCACAAGGCGCTCGGTATCTTATATCGAACTGTACGGCAAATCATGACGGTTAATGATACAAAGCTAAGTAAAGCTCGGAGTTTCTCGCCGCTTGAAGTGCCGGGTTGGCAGATGTTTGCTCAGGGTGCGCTAAAGGCCCTACGGAGCTACAACGCCAGACTGAGCCATCTCATGGAACAGCATGGAATTCAGAGCGAGGGTGAAGTATTCAGTGGATTCATTGGAACGATATCGTCATTCGAAGCTGCTAATGCTTCTACGGTACGATATCTCTTGCTATTGCATATAAGACCACTATTTGGTTGGTGTGATTAAAGAGGGTTACCTTTTAGTATATTTTTCGTGCCCAAGAGAGACAGGTTTGACCTGTGAAAAAAACATCTTTATAGCCATTTTGTGCGTTTTCTGGGTACAAGTTGACCATTCTTCTTTGGTTCCCCTTATCATTTTATTTTTTTAATTTATATATGCTGCTGTATTTTATACAAGCTGATAACCTAATTAGATTTACCCTTACAATTTTATAATTTTAAAATGTGTATTTGTGGATTTAGCCATTATGAATCGAAAAGTACGAAAACGGAAACAGTATTTACGAATAGTGATAGACCACAACGACGTTATCCACGCTAAACTTAGGGCAACTTTAAATCAGGCCTGGCAGGATATTGTCGAAGTCAGTAACACCATCTAGCAATAAGCTTTCTGAAATAAAGGAATCCCAAGTTAAGTTAGCTAAATACTTGAAATTAATGACAAACACACGCATTAGGTTCCGTTCTACCGAATTTGAATCGATATCAAACTATCACTAGAAACAATGCTTAATCTACATCTATATTCTACTGTTGTTGAAATTGTTCGTTAAATCGTTGATGTGGCTCAATCTGCCGAATCAAGCTGATAACGTTCTATTAGCAATCAACTACTAACTTACCCATTGCCCTGACGCCGATATGGAACATGCTACGCCTATGAATTGCTTTCAGTTTCGAACGGAAAAAGCCAATTTGGCTGTGCTTGTTGATCGCCAGAAATCCGCTCTCATGGAGGATACGCGTCAACAGTTCTTTCGTGAGCTCGAACTTGAGTGTCTTACGTATGGGGCCGAGGACGAGGGCTCGCGTCACATGTTGAGAATCCAGAAAGCCGCTGCGTGGTATATGGTCACATACGGGGACGACGGCGAAGGCAATAGCCAAAATGGCCAGGCCCGGGGATTCTTCAGCTTTCCATGGTGTATTGCTCACGTTTTGCTTGAGGCCAAACGTTGGCTGATGCAATTTGCCGGTGAGCGTTGTCAGGTTCCCTTTAAGACTGCCATACTCTAACGTTTATATAGTTCGTGCGATACGTGCAACGGTCCTTCAGAATCGTCCCACAATTTGCTTTTCAATGATTAGCTTTTATCTGTGCAGTAATGTGGAAAACTCAAATGACACGCTTCGTTCCTGGTGTCAAATCTATTACTGATGCGTTATAGACAGTTTTGTCACTAATTATTGAGCTTCTACTAAACTGGTTTACCAGCAAGTCATCGTTGATCAAGGAGAAAAACACTGGTCGTTAATTTTAGATTTAATTATTTTTGTAATGAAAGCGCCATCATAGCTGAACTCATTGAGCGAACTATAATTGCGAGTGATCTCTATGTGAACAAGTCTGTTTTTCTCCTTGGTTAATCTAGATTATGCGATTTGATTCACTGACTTAAACGTAGATCGTGAGCGAGGATATTCTCCGGCGGCTTATTCCGAGCCGACAGTTGGAAGTGGTGGTCTTCGCAACGCATTGACTCGCGTCATCGATGAGTCGGCGCGAGCAGCGGCCAGCGCATGTGTATCGCCAAGCCTGCAGGTAGCATAGGACAATTTTTGCAAAAAACTTTAGAATGATGAACTCTGATCAAATGCATCAACAAAATTGAAAGAAAAAAAAACATCTGTGAATACACAACGAACAGAACATTATCTACCTAATTTGTTTTTCTCGAACGCTGGAGAATCTGTTATGAATTCTATTGTGAACATCAAGCCATTAGTAGAAATGAATCATTCGACTTTCCAATATACAAATACATAGCTTCCCTACATAACGTACTTTAAGGTAATCGTCTGAAAATATATCTAATATTCATTAAATATCATCTGCTGGGGGCATTGAATCCACTGTCTAGGAGAGTCCGCTAAAAATCATGCATATATTTCTGTTTGATGCATGCCTTTATAGGTACCAATAGGTCAGTTGGAAGAGGCTGATCGTCGACGTCAGCTGCGTTACCACGTCACGCACTGGTTAAACGATGCGGCTGGACAACCAGACTCGCCTTCGGAGCCCTTGTGCGACCTGTGCTATGCACAGGTCTACGAAGCTTTCGTCAATCAGTGTGAACGCCGCCTTAAACTCTTCAGTCTGGGTAAAAGAAAAACGTTTTTCATATCTCAAAGAAACTTCCTTTAACGCTATACGAAACGATGCCATCTTTTTAAGAGGACACTTGCGCGAATATGCGAACTCGTATTGACTTGCCACAACCGAAGAGGGTTTTTAGTCAAAGCCGTAAGGGCTAGTCCGACACAACAGCTATAATATCGATAGAATTACCAAAAACCACGTAGACACGAGTAAACTGTTCGTGCACGCCAGGTGTTCCCCATTAGCGCATGGCCCCTCTCCCTTTTGTCTATAGGCGAGTACTTGGTGGGCCTGTTGGGTTTTCTCGCTAGTGGCGATTGCCCCTACCCAAGACGTTGTGAACGCCGAGGATGCCGACGACTATTTGAGAGTGACTGTCCATTACTGACGGTAGAAGCTGCCAAAGCGTACGTTCGTTTTGCTATCAATAAGGACGCGTGCTTCTTAGGTTTCCGTTGTGACCAAAGAGTGCATCGAGCCACCGACGTTATCATCGATGGTAAACACGTAATAATCGCAATGAAGACATAGATGCCACCTTTGTACTCCCTTGTATTAATAACGCTCAAAGGTCAATTACGCTCAAGCTAAATTCATAATTTGCATTATTACGATTTCGTTAAAGAGAGGTAGTGAATGCTCTCATTTTTTTTTTTGTTTAGAAATTATATCAAACTTTTACCAACGAAATTTATTTTTGCCAAAGGAGAGTTGCATAGAACAACTTACCATACGTACGTATTTATTCAATCAATACAATAAATAATCCATCCAGCTGTAACCAGTAACAAGGCTATACATACAGCAAAATAAGAAGGAAAATATTCTTAGTATAGAACATGCATTCTCAAGAACTATTGCATTGCTACATCAGCAACTTTTTACGTGTTATCTTGTCCGACAGCCCCACCAGAGAAGCTGACAATTTCCGAGCGATTTTGGCGTTTCCTTCGGCAGGACCGCACGACTGCATGCAAGGAGTACTTGTACAAATATACCGGTGTCTACCGTATTACAGTCCGATACGAGCGGCACAAGACACGGCGATTCATCCCCGCTCCTGCAACGACAGCCATGTTGCCCGGTGACAACGACTATCAGCTTGGCTTTTCCCATCAACAGGGACATTTCCAGCAGTGTAATGGGTCGCCATCTGCGCCTGCCCCGAATGCTTTGCCTGGTACGTTCACAACCGGTAATGCATTCTCCATGAAAGTTCACTATTGTGGGACTGATACGCAAATCTTTGCCATGCAACAGTGTCTACGCAACGACAACTTCCAGGCGTCTGTTCTGGAAAGTAACTACAGCCTACTAAGGCAATGAGCGATTTTGCCCCACCAAGGGCAAAATGGAAAAATGCAGTGGCAAGGTCAGCCTCGCTCGCTTTTCCTAACCACAGACGCCGATTAATTCATTTTTCCAAAATGACTAGCTTCAATGCCCGTTGTAATACTAATTGCTAGCATAAATATTGTGCCTGTTTATCGTTGTGGTACTATACTGTGGAATATATTATATATGTGGAAATTAGCTAGTTGTAGAGGATTTGCAAGCTGTACATTATAAGTATATATATATACATGTAGTTTTTTTTCTATTTAATTGTATAGAAAATGATAGAATATGAAAAGAGATTCAAGGACAGGTTCTCTTCAATATCGCTTTACCGTAGAATTAGGCTCATAATGCCGAGATTTTGTGTTTGTGAATTGTCTGACGGTTGTGCTGAAAGTCGGCTATGCGACGTGCAGCCGCGCATATTCATCCCAGTTTAGATCGAAACGCAGTTTTTGTGCTTATACTATTATTATCGCAGTGTTGTTAGCTTGTGTTTATTTGTCCATCATGGATGTGTTTGTATCTATTGATGTGAGAAGATCAACTCAGAGAATAGAGCAGATATCAAATATGTGTAGATACGTTAATTATTACAAATGGCACAGTCACGAATGTGACTGCACATTCGTGCAGACGCCATGCCGACTGACAAGGTTCAAGTGCGTGAAATAAATGTAGTTCGACTATTTTGTTATGAAAATTGTTATTTCTTCTTTTTCTCGTTATTACTGTAATTGTTTAAGTGTAGCTAATAAATATATTTTAAGAGCTCTAGATGTCTTCTCCGGCTCAGTCTGCCCCTCTTCGATACTGTCGTTGTAGCTTGACAATGAATAGAACCATTAATAGGGATCGAGTAGAGATGATACGACAAGACCGGTATAGCCGGTATAATTCAAAATTAATGTAGATCAAGAGAGTGCTGACTAAATGTAGTTCGAGGACGAGTCTTTCCCTAAGGGTAAACTGTTGAGCTCTAACGTACTTCCGAATTATAGAGTTCCAAATAGACTCCACCCTTTTCTGGATCGACTGCAATTGAATAAAGCGATTTTAAAAAAAGCAATGAAGACGCTGCCGGATCCCTCTTTTCAACGTAACAATTCGTCCGATATGAACGTCATTTGACAGCAGGGTAAATACCCAAACACAAATTAAGACTGAGCAGAACCAAGGAACAGTTATCATTTCCAGTTTCTTTAGGCTACCAAAACAAAAACGCTTCAACCCTTGGCAGGAGCATTGGTAATCTGTTCGCTGCTACCTGGCCCCTTAAGTTCCTATACGACGTTAGGTAAGAACAAGTATTGGGATTTTAGGTTTTTCCCAAATTCACGTACAGTCACAAGCAGCTCGAACAAGCCATTGTATGAATGTTGCTATTAACAAAGCTAGCTAGTTGCAGCAAATTAAACTACTTATATTCATCATCTCGTAGACTATGCACAGATAATTGTCCTATGGCAAAGATAATAGTTTCTAGCTTTCAATCAGATTAATGTTATCCTAAAAAGAAATTTATTTTTCTTATGAATGTGTAGATTTTTCATACAAAAATATAGGACTATATGAAAATCTCTACACGTCCAAACCAGTATTTCTTTCAGCACCTATAGCGGATAACGTGAAATTTCACAGTTTCATTGTGCCTTATATACATAGATAGCCCAGCAATTGTGTCGGTCTTTCGCGCATAGATTCCTGTTTACTCTCTGCGCCATTCTCGAAAAAGCAGACGATACAAAAAATCATAAGATCTAGTATTCTTCTAGCACACTTAAGAAGTCTGTAATCTCTTCTTTATTAATGCTTCATTTCACTATTTCAGGTGGCAACATAGCAAATCAACTAAGAATGAACACATTCATCATCAATCGATTACTCATACCGCGAATATTCAAAAGATTGCGGCAGGAAAGGGCCGCGAATCGAATATGGCGGCCGCATGTTTAAATCTACTGGTGGGCGCGTTCTCGATGATGAGCAGAAGAAGCAAGCTTCATTTGACCGAGTACGGCTTCGACGTTGCCACAAGGCTCAAAGCTTAGAAAACGATTTCGTACAAGAATTTCAACCGTTTCATTGACTGTGTTCGTAGTTCCCGGATTTAATCGTGTCTGTTTAATTATACAATCGAATTTGTGTGTATACAGAATCGTGTAAAAACTGTCATGTAAAAAAAATGACGTTAGCATGAATATGAGGAGGTATGATTTTTCGGTTGTCATATGGCTTCTAAAGTATGCAAGATTGCCACAGACTGACGTTGTTAGCTATACGTGCTTTACTTGTTTCATTTGTAGTGGTTCAAGTCAGTTGTTTTCATCACTCACTTAGTAACACGCGCTCGATGAATACATGTAAAGATTAACGCACGCTCGGTACTAATTAGCTTGTTGATTTTATAGATTTTCAGTTACTGAACGTTTCAAGTTAAGGGAAATACACCCGAAACGCAGTAACGTGTGTTGTTACTAATTAATATAATACACATTTATATCTAGCCATAACGTGTTTAAATATGTAGCATTGAAAACGTAGACGCATGGCACGTTAACGAGGAATAATACTCTATAGATGATCATTGTTGTAAGGCTACGCGGAAACTGCTTACTTCAGGCCTCAACACAAAAATCGTAAACGCTCTGATAGCCACAGCTGCTAACAATGAAAAATAACAATCAAAGAAAATTATCATCAAAAAATAAAATCGTGTTTATAGTAGGTGATAACGCATCTTCGCTGAAATGAAAGTAGATGTTTTTAGGTCACATTTTAAAGCGGTTCTTTGTGTTTAATAGTAAAAGTAGATCGAATGTATGCCTATTTGTTTCACATTAGTTATTTTTATAGGTTCATTTAAAAAAAATTTGCCATTTTCAATTATTAGAAGCCGATCTAAGTCACTTTTCTTTAACCTGAATCATCTGTTGTCTTATGTTGGCGTTCGGTAGTGATAAAACATGCATGAAGTTTACGTTGCATAATTCAACTAATTATTCAAACCAGAACAATTCCCTTAGGTTGCCTGTGATCAGACACAAGACCTACGAATGATCAAAACACGCAAACACATTTAAAACTTCAGAAACAATATTAGACAATACATATATGTTAAGTTTGCTACTCCTCAGCGGCAATATTTTTGCTGGGATATACACACCCTGAAAGAATCGGGAATCATTTTATCTGTTGGATTTAAATGTCCTATGTCATCTGTCGTCCGAATACATCAGGGTAGTTAATCGATGCCTTTTATATTTTGTACATTTAGGTTGTTTTAGAAGCAAAAATTACTCTGGGTTCGACGCTGTAAATATTACCGAAAAACTCGTACGTTTGTGGAGAAGTCGAATGTATTTTTGGTTGTCTTTACTACCCATCAAGACGAAATGACTCCACGTAAAACTGTTTCAACTAAAAAGAAATCGGGTGAAAAGACGAGTACTTCTTCTGGCCGTAAAGTTCTCCAGCGAACATCTATTTCTGTTGCATCTATCAAAGAGAAGACCAGACAGGGTATGTGATATGAAATCTTTATAGACAGAAATCGTTTGTAATTGAATTTGTAACAAATTTAGCTGATTTAAACGATCAAGTGATATGGCTTGCTATCTGAATTTTTCCTCGATTGTTTAAAGGTCTATTTAATATATTTTATGTCATCATATTTAAATCTTGAAAGGCATTTTTCAACCTTTATTAGAAAAAACATACCACTTAATACTAACGAGTAAGAAATGTCGCCTTATACATGTTGTATTTTGTTTTTTCAATAGGCCTGAAACGATTAACGAATAAGGGCGGTATTCAGAAGCGGACTGTGCATAAGAGCCCTGCGAAAATACTGAAAGAAAATATTAGCGCGAATTCTAGAAAAACCAATACTTCTATCAAAAGCCCAGCCATCAAGGTAAGCTTTTCGTTCGTTGAATGCTATTTCATATATTTTGGGAATTGTACTCATTGTTAGTTGGCATATGGGCTTCTAGATATGATTTAATTTTTGTCAATTTTAAAACTGTTTTTAATTTAATCTATCTTTGCAGCTAGGTGATGTTTATAAACGGGAAAAGTTTTGCCGCTTTGGTCCGTCCTAAGCAAATTCTTTGAATTTATTATATTCATTATTTTAAATTTTAGTTTCAAGTCTTATTATAATATAGTTCAACAATAAAGCTCCGACATAATTCGACCAAGATGTGCATGTGGCGTACTGGCGAAGAAATCCGTCTAAAATGCATTACAACTCATTGAAGTGTGACTTTTATAATATATATATATATATGTTTTCGAAAAAGTATTGCTCGGTTTTAAGCCAGTATTGAACTTAACATTTTTACAGTTGAAAATAATATCACAAAACCGAATATACTTCATTTTTATCGATGATTTCCTAGTAGCAATATCATTTTATCTGTGTAGAACTTCTGTGGTTTCTAAACGAAAATGTGTGACAAGTGATGTTTGTATTCCTCTATTGAAACTATGTAAACACCATTAAGAAAGTTCTGTAAAGACTGAAACAGTCTGATAGTCTGAGTGTGCAAGATCCGGGTTATATGGCGAATGCATTAACATGTGCCCTGCAAGTTTTCTCGATCCTTTCCAAGTAACTAGAGATATATGTGGTCTGGCATTATCATGGTGAAAGACGAAGTCTTTTCTGTTTACTAGTTCTATCTTGGTAATTTTTTGTCATACAGAGGTTTTGTCAAGAGATAGTACTATATGACTCGCGATTCCTTTTTTATTCTTCTAAACACATAGCATCTGTGTCTTTGGCGTCCATTTGGACTTGGCTACAAATTGCGGAGCATATTCTTTCGTATGTGATTCTCGTTTCATCAGTCTTGATCGACTAATTTAGAAAAAGCTCGATTACAATGCGCTCCTGTAGAGTTTCGCAAACGCAAATACGATTGAGTAAATTCTTTCGTGTAAATTCGTGTGGCACTCAAACCTCTATGTTTCGAGCTTTACATCAGGTATTGTCGTTACGCACACACAGATTTTGTTTCGTGCTAGAAGCCTCCTGTCTGATAAAATCCCTAACGGCAATACCGGACGTACAACTCGAAACATAGAGGCATCTAAATGTCGAGCTTATTTTATGGCCAATTATTTTAAGAAGGTTTGAAGTATTTGGCACTGCACGTTTACTTCCTTGAAGATACTCAACTATCACGAGAATTTCACTAGCTTTTTCTGCATTCCACTATCCGCTACGAGAAACACCTTTTTCCTCAGAATTTCTAAAACTAAAACGACAGAACCATCTTTTAAGTGATTACACACACTGAAGCACGTGTTCTGGGAATTTAATTCCCAGGACCATGGCATTCATTGACTTGACTGAATAGCGGTGCAAACGTTACTATCTGGAGTGTAGTATTTCTGCATTGTTCTGGCGTTAGCAGAAGCTACGACGTTGTTGTAGTGGTCGGGTTGAATTATGTATATATGCTGACGTAGTATAATGAATGTTTTCTATTTACTTAACGACCTTGTTAACACCTGTTTATCATTATTTGTTGCTAGCGTTGTCTCATGCGCCTTCCAAAATTGAAGTGTAGTATCTTGTTTTGTACGATAAGATAGTTTTAAGTAACCTAACCTAACCATAAGATAGTTTTACTATGTCTGCTACGTTTGAGTAAAGCTATTTTTATCTTTTTTACCACATTCTGCTTCTTGTTTCGGACATTGTTCTTCAAATCTTCAAGAAAAATATCATCATAATGACAGCTATCGGAAATACTTGTTGTTATTTCTTAAGTTGGTACATCTGTTGCAGTTGATTAAAAAAATAATGTAAGGGTGATATTGTTGTGCTTAACGATATACGCTTGCAGGTTTTTCGTCCGCGCAGTGACGAAAATTATACCCCACAAAGACAACAACCATCGAGAAAGGTTAAAACCTGCAAAGGCCCCAAGCAACAATACGAAAGTGAGTTCGAAAAACGTCGGATACCTGTGTCAGTGTCGTCAGCTTTGCAAGAGGTAAGGCGTGTTTGCAAAAACCTTCCCTTAAGCCCACTAAAACCACTAGATAGAACGTATACATGATGTTTGCTTTTCAAATTGATTGTACCACAACTTGTTATCAATAAAGCCTGGAGAAGGAAACCAAAAACCGAGCGCCGTCCTCCAGTCTTGGCTGCACCACCTTTATGGACTTAAATTTGTGGCGTTATTTTTTGTCTATAGCGGGTCTTACCCAATTTGCACCATCTTTACCGATTTCTTCGTCCGTTATTTTAATCCTCCCGTTCATATTTACTTCTATGTTTGCCCTATTTTTGCGTTTGTGTTAGATGAAAGGTAACATTTCCAAAGCCTTGGAAACAGTGTCAACGAAGCTCAAAATTAATCGCGGGGAACGACGCAGTATCCGTCAGTCGGCCTATGATCCATTGCTGAGTTCTGACACCCCAGTGAAACTTTATTCGCCGTTTACGATTGGCGACTTTGAGCACACTCCGACAGGTGAAAGATCATCAGAACACTCTGCAAAGCGTAACGGTCGTGTGCAGACGGCGTCTACGTCAAATCGAACAACCCCAAGAAATCGCGGCGGAAAGATTCAGAGTGTAAAACACGGAGCAAACGTAAGCAGGTAAGAATTCTCGAGCCTAATGTAGAACATAACGTAAAAAATCAAAATCAAAACAAACGATCTAAACAACACTAAACTATTACGGAAATAAATTTCAATTTGAGGATAGACGAAGTAGTCTAGGTTTGAGGTTAGGCACTGGTACACTCCGTTTTGTGTTAGACAAGAGAAACGGTCTGAAGTGATGCCTTCCTAACACAGTACCATATGTACAACCCGAACCATTTACTTTATACGCAGTTGAACTGTTAGCTGCATTGTGTATGAGTCGTCATTACAAATTGGAAACTAGGGTTCTTTGAAAAATTAGCTTTTTAGAAAGCAAGTAGCTTTCCTTATGGCACGGAAAATGTGCAAGCTTGAGGAAAATTCCAATACGAAATCCCTAATGTTGACATGCGGAAAAATACCAAACGGAAATGCGCTTCCATGATAAATATCTACACACTAAAGCTATATTTTGTCTATAGAATAGTCTTATTGATAACCCACAAATGAGCTAAGGTTTTAAGTAATATCGTTACTTACTTTTTTTTATTAAAATCTATAATACTCGTCTATTTTTTGCTGACTTTACAGGAATCTTCTCGATACTCCCACCGGAAAGTTTCGCCAAGATCTTGAGGATATGACAAAAGGCTTTAAAGAACTGACCTCACTTGCGAAACGGTTGAACGATCGTGTACAACAGGAGTAGATTTGGGGTTGAAAGCAAAAGCTGAACTATCCTATTTGCAGCTTTGCTATGCCCCACCTTGCGAAGTCTGGATATGCATACGCTTTAATCTGCAGTTTTGTTCAACATGCCACAATAAGTATTGGGATCCCCTATGCTCAAATTGTGTAAGGTTCCTATTAGAGTAATCGGAAAGAAAGCCACTTTCTCATATTTTGAAGCTATTTAATAATAATTACTACAAAAAATGGCGTTCCAACTGTTAATCTGGCATATGTTACCTGCTAACTGATTTTCATGTAGTAGGCGTTTAGTACCCATGAATGACATTTTTATTTAAAGCCGTACTAGATTACATAATAATTTCAAGTCGAATAAGCTTTCCAGAGTGGTACTGTCTTTTCTGAACAGATCAGTTTAGAGCGAAGTGCAGAACTCGCACAGAATTAATTGACTAAGCCAAACAGACAACTACTTTACTATTGCAGCTAGCTTAAAAATCTCGTAAGGAAAAAAAGCATCTGTATTTTTCCACTTTTTTTTCTAGCTCCCTCTTCATTCCTGGCAGACCCAAAAATCATCAGCTATATACGATTATGATGCATATTGTTAACTCCAAAATATTAATATTTTTTTTTTTAAATAAAGCTTCAGCCTAAGTAAAATAAGTCGACATGGTGAATATGCTATTATTCTACTGACACCCGCCTCCGTCTTTTACTTCGAATATTAAGGGAAACGAGTTTGGAACTACGCACAAATTTCAGCTGTAAATTAAAGAAGATTTCTACTATTGTGATTATAACGATACTTTTGTTACTCCTGTTAATCGCGCCAAATATAGTCATAATTTCAACCCTTTTCAGTAATCTCTTTCTTTTTTCAATATAAATTCTTTTTAATCAGTGTCGTCCTGGATTGTTCTCAACTATTTTATAGCAGCATAAATACTACATGGATGGCAATGCCTCTACGTTTTGTCGAATCATTAATAAACAAAAAATGTCAACTCGAAGCAGATCGTTTCCCTCACCCACTCAGTGTCTAAAGCCCTATGCAGTAAACACGAGTCCATAAAACAGTTTATGGCATCGCCTACCATATTATCTATTTGTCATTAAAATGCAATCATATCTAAAAACCGTCAATTTTCTGCTATGCTACAATGTTACCTAACGCCCAAATTGCTAGCTTATCTTTTTGTACTTCACGTGTGTACTTGCTGGTATTTTTGGCTGGCAGGGTTGCTAAATCTTAGATATAAAGAAGGCCCTATCTACACTTGGCAGTACGTGCTAGAGACACGCAAAAAACAACTGAACTGTACACAGATTTTAAAAATAAACGCACTTCAAACTTTTACCAGTCTAAATCTTATTTCGAATACATCGTTCTACGTTTGTTGCCCTTAGCAGCAATTCTTTATTTAAATGCGCATATCATTCATCTTCAATACTAGGAATTACAGCATATTGGTGTCGGGCTCTAATTGATTACTACGTTTTTCTAACTTCGTGCGCTAACCTTTCGAAATATAGTTATAGTGTCATCGAAGAACTGCGTAACGGAAGTACCGAATTTATATCTAGCAGAATGTCTATGATATGCAGATGGTATTAGTCCACAAATTTTCACCTATAAATCAGATACCATCGATTACGTCACAGATCCGATATTTACGATGAAACTATCCCATTCTTTGGTCTATATCATTTTTATTATTATTATAAAAGGAGTAACAGCTAAGACAAAATTCGCGCTATCGCAAATGTTTCTTTTTTATTATCACCTTGGGATTCGTTCTTAGACGGATTCGTAGACAAAACGAAATTCAAATAGCGTATACAAAACTATCTAAAAATAAATTTATATCTTCTCTAATTAAACATGCCGACTTAATTTTATGCGATAATTTATTTTATTCTACCTTATATAAAAGTTAATGCTCTTTTAATTAATAAGAGCTATTATGAAAGTTTGAAAATTATCATTAAATGACACTTTTTTTTTATCACGAAAAAACGCTTGCTTTTCGCGCTTGTTTTTTGCAGGCACTCTCCATTACGTTGTTAATACTGGTTTCTTTGAATAGATACACACATATAGCAATCATGCTCAGTGGGAACATCGTAGCGTTAGTACCTTACACTATAATATGTAAAACATTTTTAACGATTACAAATGAGAGGCGGAGCATTTGCCTTACCAGATTTGGCAACCTTAAAAATCATGCAGCTACCATCGTGTCTCCACAATACAAAATAAAAAATTCTTTAAAAAAAATGTAATGAAAAAGAAACGAAGACGACTAATGCGATTGTAAAAGTTGGAAGAAATAGTTCCATTTTGATTTTAACACACATCATGCTCTTGTAATGTACTTGGATTCTGTTAATCGGAGACGGATCAAACTAGTAGTAAATTTTATCTGCAAATAGGCGCGCATTGGAAGCTGTACCTATGTTGGTATGTTTTGACAGTTTAGCTAAAATTCAGATTCAACAAATTGCAAAAGAAAAAACACGAATTTATACGCACGGTAGTTTATTAGTTATAGTACCAAATTCAAATCATTGACTGAGACAACTAAATTCTCTTGTGTGAGAAAGCTGAGTCAATTATTATATTAGTTATATATATGTACACATTTGTTGCTGTAGGTTCGATTGAACCGCTTGAGAGTGGTCTGATATGAAAGGGGGAGCAATATGAAGATTCAGATTATTTTATTTATTATTAGAAGCTTACTCGGTAAGTATGGTCGGCAAGTATGGCCACCATGCCAATCTTTAACAGTGGTATAGCATGCATTAGATGATAGTTCTCAACTCTCGCAATGAACAATTAACGTCTGGCCAATGGAAGTTCTCTAGAGCAACTCTGTATATAAATGCAGAAAAAGCGTTGATCTTTCTTCATTTCGACTTCGTAGAGATACTATTGAATCGTCGTGGCACTCTGCCTAGCGTTTTCGAATGCAGCTTGTTTTGATCGCCGTTTAAGAGGCACCATTTTAAAACCGCCTCCTTTTCCGTTTCTGATCATTCCACAAAACGCGCCTTCGAATTACCATTACCCAATATGCAAAGGAAGGACCAGCTATCTAGCGACCCGCTTTTAACATCTCCGATAAGTTGTGTTCCTTTCCTTCCTATGTATAGATCAGACTTGTAGTCCGAAAAACATAGTATAGCACTCTGTTCACCCGAATTAGTTGCTCATTTTTGACATGTTTCGTCTGTTTTTCACCTTTATATACATCGAACCTATAAACGTGTTCTATTTAGTTTCCTCTACGTCCGTCGCGTGTCGGGAGCCAATATGCTGCTTAGACAACGAGTGCAAACGCTTGAATCGATCATGGTGGATGTCCTTGTGTTATGTGCTCTACCTCAGGATTATCTTCTAGGCGTGGGTGTGTCCAGGTAGACCGGATAACCGTCTAAAAATACGAAACCTCGAATATCGAATAATAACGCCTATCGTTAGCTCCGAACCTGGAGAAAGAATTAAAAGAAAATAATGAACTGTATTAAATGTTTTCTCACGTCGGAACAGGGTGTTGCTGGGGTAAAGTAAAACAACGCGAAAATCGTCTCCTATTTTTTTAATTGCATCAATAATTTGCTAAGAAATTTATATCAATTTATGGGGATAAATGAAATGGGGATTTCATTTAGCAGGCGTCAAATACTCTCAATATAATACACTCAGCTGGACTCCCAGGAAACTGACTATGCAGATTTGTTATTCCTGCCCTTTTCTACTGGTCGAGAACACGGTCATTCCAAAGCAGGATAACACTTACGAGAAAAAGACACTCGCTTTTTGCCGAAAAAGTATCCTTGACTTTTCCACTTTATTTTCATTAACGTATTTACATTGTAGAGACTGCTGACTGAGACCCTGTCCATCTCGTATCGAATTTAGCGTTCGCTCTTCGACTTAATGGCATCACTCGATGCCCGCCTACTTGCTTGCCCGCCATGAAACATGTCACGATATCAGCTTCATCGTCATCATAAATAACTACCATCCGTTTTTCCACTGCGTAAATGCCGGTCGTCCTACAGCAGACGTGTAGGGCTCTGTTGCTTGCCATATCCTTGCGATCCATTCAATAGCCAATTACTTTTTTAAGCGTTCGACTTGTTTACGCGATTACTCATATTCGTCCACTGAACTGACTCAATAGCGAGCCGATTAATTAACTGAGAATTGATGACACTTTTCAAACAGATATTTCTCTAATGTGTGTTAATGGGGGCAATGGGGACATGTAAACATGACAAGCGAAGTAACTAACGGCTACTCTAGTCGGTCGTGGAGACTACATCCGCAGCTAGCGTTCCGCGTTCTTCTACACACCGCACGCACTTTGCAGTCGATCACGTCGGAGGGCGATAGTGAAACAGGGAACGAAAAGGAATTTACTCCAAACGGCTCTCAAGTAAAATTCGGCCAGCCTTTTCCGAAGGCGCTGTGATATCAACATCGTAGTATAGACAGAAATGCATTATTGCCTGTTTTGACATAAGGATTTGGGGACAGTCTAAACAAGGGCATACCATAGTATTTTTTCAAGTGCCATTGCCTACTCATAAAACGTGAAATCACAAACAGTTATATATAATTGCGGTAACGTGGCCACTTTATTTGCTTGAGAGCCAAGCAACCGTAACACTCGTTAGATACCGAGGAGAAGCTTCGGTTTAATGAATGGAACTAAAATTCATCGATTAATAACTCCTGATACTCAGTAGGTGTTTGTATTGCCTGTCAATTGACCGAAAGCCTGCGTGTCTACTTTTCATTGTGGCAGGAAGGCAAGCAACTGGCGTGCAATCTTACGCGTATTTTACACTGATTTATTAGGCCACACTCGACTAAGCCAGGGGACCTATTCGCTAAGGATACGTGGAACAGGTTCAGCTTTCGAGATTAAACACTCAGTTTTCCTTACTTATTTGTGGAAGAATGACTGCAATTTAACCACATAGTAAACGTATGATACTAAAGCTAACCTGCTAAACAATTACATTATTTTAAATGTTCAGAACTACTGTTAAAGTAGCTATTCTTAATAAATGCGTTCGATCCCAAACGAAGCTATAGCAGATTTGTCGACATGTGTGAGTAAGGTTCATGGGACCATCGTGAGATCTAAAGGACTATGACGGCATCAGGAACATCACCTTAAGTTACATCACATATGGCAATCGTACATCAAGATCTTCAGCAACCTCAAAATAAACGATTTGTTCACTCACCATTCCTATCACTTGGTCGTCGACTTGTTTGGTATGGCAAAGTGGCATCCTAAGACGCAGGCAATCGATAACTGGGATACGAACATGTCATACTTTCCACCCGACAACCATAGATGTATGTTTCGGATTCGATCAGCGACGTGCCGTCTCAATCTTTTTAGATACGAAGCGCGTCTCTTAAAGGGCAAGGATGATCTATCACAGGGCAAAAAGTCAGTTTCTTCGATTCGAGACATCGAACGGACACTGCTCTAAGCTCATAAATGAAGAGTGCGTCACAGACCATTTTGCGTTGCGTGTTAGAAAACAAAATTGGTACGTTTACGCTGTTGTTATTTATTTGCGCTGGCCTGTTTTGCTGATTGCCCCTATCGGATAAGAGACGCTTCCATTTGGCCCTATTCAGTGTCATTCCGAACATCTATCTTTGTTTGAGAATTGTGGGCGATTTGACGCTGTTGACCCGTTGCATGAAATATTGGACTGACGCTCGAGGATGCCCTCGTGTCATTCGGGATATAGTCGATGGTCAACGAGTTTTTTAGTACGACAATTGTATGTATCAACATTTTAAATGGTACAGCTTTTCGACTATGGTCGCGACTTCTAACCACAGGATGCAAAACGACAATTTTATGATATGGCTAATTCCGCATTCGGTTTTCGGAAATAAATCCAGGCGCTACTTTATGTAAGCTAGACATACCGGCATCTTCTTCGTCCATTACAAGCTAAGCTACGTAGGTCAAACGTATGCGTAAATTAAAGCGCGGATGAATGCATTATACCTAGTTTACAAGATGATTTAGTATGAGTATGAAACTGCTGTAGCAGTTTCATACTTTTACCAGATTTAGGCTCGCTAGTCTTACCTCATAATTTTCTAGGGGAACTCTAAACTAGCCGTTAATATACGAATCCATCTCACAGTTAATAATACAAGGTGGGCGTTTGCTAAGTTATTAGAAATATTCAACAATTATAGCAAGAAATTCACATAACTTAGATACTGTATGCGTGCTAATGTTGTACAAGTTCCTTGTAGTAAAATAAACAAGTTTGTTAATTATTTATATTTATGTAATACGTCATCTTTCATAGTACACAACAACAGCAGCGGCACGATGGCCAGTTAGCTCTGTTACTGGCAGTGTGATAAGGTCAAAAGCAAGTTAAACGTTAAAGTCGTGCACACATATGGAACATCTTTATGTTTAAAAAGGGCAATTTGCCGTTTGTGCGCTACATTTAGGCATCCCGTTCAATATTGTACGATCTAAACGCTTAGCTATTTGGTAAACTTCATTATTTTCGCTAAATAGAAAAATGCTTCATTTAACGATGTCTCGTTGCGCTGTTTTAGGAGATGATGACCCAAAAATGAATTGGGTAACCAAATTTTATAGTGTTTCTGTACTCGGGACAGAGGTGCTATAACACATAACCGTATAGTGTTTAATAGCATTCTGGTGATGAAAGAACATCACAAATGACTGAGATGCTTGAACTCGTTATCAATCCTACTATAATAACTAAACACGGGCAGTAAAAAATCCACCGTAACAACAAGGATAATCACTAGAACGTGCAATGCAACATTTTCAGACGTCACATCTTTTCGAAACTACGAAAACGCTAATTACAAATCATTTTTTTTCCTTACTGAAACATATTGCCCCAACGTACATAGATATTTCTTAAAACAATAAAACTAGAATAATGCGGGCGTAAAGCCAGACCACAGTAATAATTGCTGCTCGTATTAGTTTGGTAAGCACACTACAGTGGTCATTTCGACGGAGTTACTGTCCGTTTGTTTTCAAAAATGTCTTGCATTTTCAACATTCGTAAAGTAACGTGGAATATATACTATCGGGCCAAAGTCCATCTAGCGCAAGCTAATAGGCGTGAGACTCAGCCCCAGCGCGAGGGCTTTATTACGCTGCTAGTTCGCCTATACGTGTTTCTAACAGTGCAGCTTGAGATATTGTGGCAAAAACGTGTTGTGTTTTTGCATTTAGTCCCGTGGAGAAACTGGTTTTTTTCGTTTTTTTGACGCAGGCCATTGTATAATGGCCTTATACTGTTTCAAAGTATTATTATTTTTTTTTTTTTTTTCATATAAGGGAAATAGATTTGTTCATACTATATTCAACACTTATAGGTTGAAAGCGATCGACCCTCGTTAAATCTTTGCCGTGTTTCAAGACAATGTGCCTTTAGCTTTTTGCCTTTGTTAGTTGTTGTTTTGAACGCCCCCTGTCCTCTTTGTTTTCCCTTTGCGTAATATCATCGATGCAGAACGCCGGTCAATCATGCAAATACAATTCATACGGTCTCTGCATAGTTGTTGTTCATTTCCCTATCACATTCGTTTGTGACCTGTCTTTCATCCGTCACAGAAAGCTCTTTCCTAAATACGTTCACTAAATTTACTCTAATTCATGTCTGCGCCAGTTTTTTGCCTATATATAAATAAATACACTATGCTTAACATTTCCGATACTCGATGATACCAGTAGTAGATAACATTGACGGGGAACAATGGAGAGTATTACTATGAGAGACTGGAGTAATGGGCGATCTAGTACTTTTAGTCGACTTTACCTTTTGATCGCGTGTGCTATGCCCAGTCATGCCGAATAATGAAATTGAGAAGCGACTGCTTTGAAACGGCTGAAAACGCACATTTTTCGAAATGGTTCCCAGCTGGGGAGAAGGATTCGGCCGGGTTTCTTCGAAAATACTCTAATGATGATTCGCAGCTCGGTTAGCTTCGAGCTAAACGATAGTAAGTATCGTTTCTGTGTTGTGTGCTAAGATCTATTGCATTTCATTGGCCAATAACGAACAAACTAATTAAACAATCATTGTTTTTTTTTCCGACTTAAAAAATATAAAATTACATTACATTATAAGTCCGTTGGAATGATCAATCAGTATCACATCGTCTGGATACGCTGAGTTTACAACATATCTTAAATTATTCTAGCTAGTTTATAAAATAATGATAACCAATTTAGTAGGACATTGTCGTGTTAATAAATTTAGATGATTCTAAAATGACGATGCGATCTGATATCGATATCTTCGTCATATGGGGTTCCCCGATTTGTTTACCGACTATTCGTATCACGTGATCATAGATCAGTCCGGATTACCAGAATGGTGCCTAAGGGCCAAAGTAGTCGTAAATTCCACCCGATGAACATGAATGCAGCCTCCTGATTGGATCAACAACGTACAGTTACGACTCGTTAAAACTTGAATTGGGTCTCATTAAAGACCAGGATGACTCGTCGCAGGAGGAGAAACCCATTTCTATGAACCGGCAACTAGTGGACGTTCATTTGAGACCCACAGGGATCGAATCTGTCGCGGATTGATTTGACTATGCGTGTGAAGTTACATTATGCGTCAGAACACGATCTTCAGTTCACATCTATACGTTTACGTTACTGTTATTCATTTATGCCGGTTTCACTGTCATGGTTTGCTGGGTGCTGCTTGAAGCGTTTCCGCCTCGTTCTGTTCAGCGTCATTTTGAACATCAATCTTACGATTCAATACTCAAGTATGCTGCAGCATTCGGCCAGTACTTCATAAGGGTTCGAGGCTTGCTGGCGATCCCATGCAGTTTACCCGTTGAATAATTGTGCTTCAAATACTGTATCTAACGCCTGAGCATGTCCTCGTGCCGTTTGCAACACAGGCGATGATCGACCGGTCTCTTAGTACGACGATTGTCAGTAGTTGTGTTTCGAACGATAAATCCGAGGCTTTCAAGGGAGAAGAGAGTGACGTCGCTATAGCAGAGCATGTAGAAGACTCCTCTTCAGACAATGAAGAGCAGCCGCTGATAATGTGGTCCAAGCCACACCCCGAATTACCAAGGAAACCATAGTGATATCCGGCGAAAATCAGGAGTGGAAGAATCTCCTTATCGCACTGATGCAGATATCAGTCACAATATTTCTGCCTAGCTACGCCTTGATTTATTACGTTCTCGATAAAATGACTGTGTCTTAACTAGAGGATTCGAGAACGTTTGGTCTTTTGGATGAAAGATAATTCATTACTTGCATCTGTAAGAGCATACGCACAACAGATTGCAGATTGAAAATAAATCATAATCTGAACCTTATCTTGTGGTCAGCTGAGAAGACGTGCCCATGATAAATTTCCTCTTAGCTTTAATCTAAGCTAATATATATTGTGGCAATCCCGTCTGTTAGAAAACATACTAACACCAAATAAGTAAAAAAGGAAGCTGATGCAACTGTTTTTGCAAAACTATGTTAGTCACATATATTGAGGTCTTGAAGTCAAAAACAGTAATCTAACTCCTTAATAAGGGTACTGAATATCCGAATAAGAACAGTCCAATAGCTTGACTTTCCCCAAAAGCCCCTGACACATAAAAGGTATTTTTAGTTCACAGTGGGGCATATTACTTATTAGATAGCAAATGAGTGAAGAGTACAGTCAACAAGTACAGTCTTGCTGCCACAACTAGCACTGCCCTTCCGGCAACACAATCCAATTCGATATGGGACACTGCGAAACGCTTCTCAAACATCGTCAATCCGTGATCAATCCACACCCTTCCGATGCACTCCAACTTTTTTAACGACAATTTCTTTTAATATTTATTCAAATACACAAATAATATTTGACATGTTAGTTTCCTAGGGCTTCGCGTTGCGGTAAGGGCACGTGCATGCATATTCCCTTCAGCTAAAATAAGCCGCGCCTCGTCGTTACCAATGTTTGATAAGATGAACGGTATATGATAACATTGTTCATATCATTAATATATGAGTTTATATTTATTTTCCCTAATGAACTTACAGTGGCGCTTGATCATCTGTCTATGTGTTTTATGTCTTGTTTCTGTTATCAAGGGCTAAGATTATTCATTCTACTTTTACTTCTAATCTTGTTTACATTTGTTCTTCCTCTCCCTTTTTGTCGTTACGTACACCCAGGTAATATTTTTTCCGTTGAAAAACGTATTTTTAGACAAAATTCGTGCTAGAGCTCATGGCGTCGCCATTATACAGTTAGATTGATTTAGTATAACAGTAGTATAGTACTCGATAAATACACCGCAAATATACATAAACGGTTAAAATTGCATTATTTTTAATATATTGACCATCAATAAGTGCCTCGCCAGCGTAGCCGTACGAGATTCTGAGCAGATCTCGCAATGATTTTATTACGAGATGTTTGGCTCAAGTACACTGCCACTCAGACGACCATGAGACATGGTAACGTGCCGTCCAAAATGGAATAGCAAAAAAAAATGCAAAACTAGTAGGACAAAATGCTTTTTTTCTCTGTCTCAGCTTGCTTTTTTTTAATTAGAAGCTAAATTTAACCATATTCATCTCGCTTTATATATGTGTAACACATATCAAGGGAGCTGAGTATGGTTAAATATATATATATAATGAATAAACGTATTACGTAGGTGTATAACGCGGCTTGGTTCCTGTTCTAATGCATTTAGTCGTCTTTTTACTCAAATAGGATTATCATAAACAAATAACACCGAATACAACAAGAAGCTATCGGAAATCTTTTTTTTTTCTCTTTAGGATCATGCAAAGATTGTGTGAATCAACTTATACGAAAAGAAAATAGCACTTGGAAAACTTCCTAAAAATACGGAACGGCAGTTCTACTACTGAACATGGATATACAATAATTAGAGTCATGCAGTGCTGCCTATTTTCTATTTCCTTGGACCGCGCTTACGGTACTTCTATTCGTTCTGACAATGCCTCTAGATCGTCCAGATACTCTACAGTGCATCGACCTGAATCGCCCCCCAGGAACCGCCGCTAACGTTTGTTCTTCCACAGAATAACCGACCATCTGAGGGACCTCTCTTTGAAAACATTTATACCAACGGACCGACAGATGGCTTGCAATCAACATATTCCATACACTAAACAATTTCGTGCCGCTTTTTTTAAATAGTAATACAATCACCGCTGTGATCTGTGCGCCCCATAATCCACTAAAAAGTCGCCGTCGGATCCTCTCAGCTTTTCTTCATAAAACTTTCAATTTAATTTAACACCGAACGATAGTGGTTAAATGCTCTAGGACAAACAGCTACTGTAAAATGTGCCAGTACCGGCGAACAAGTCTGGGTATCAGCTTAATGTGGTACAAGATCATTTATGCAATAGTGGTTATTGTTATTTGCGTCCTATGTCCAGTGAGACTTGACGACACTATTGACATGTCATCGGACATTGCCAGGCTACGGAAGGACATCTTGCCTACCCAATATCGGGCAACACGGCTCGTTCGACCTGTGGTATCTGAAAGTACTTCGATGACACTGACGGTGACGGTGAAGATCAGCGACTTCATAAGTTTCGAACTTGACAAAAGTAATTGGGGATGCGAAACATAGAAGATTTTCGTCGGTGTTGTATTGTGCACTCTTTTACGTTTATCGATGCGGGCGTGTACATTACTATAATTTATGTACTTCAATATTTACAGGATGTTCGCAGAATTTCGCAATTCTTCGGAAGGCTATTCAAAGTTTCAGAAATGGCGTTCTACACATTAAGATAGCACGGTGTATTTCAAATTAAAGAAAACGGAAGGGGAGGGGTGTATAGCCTTAGAAGGACTTAGGCTTAGAAGGTACAGGACCTGTTCCTAGAACAATTAACCGTTAAATATTGCAACGGAAGTAGATATCAATGGATTCCTTTTTTGTTTGGTTTTCGGTTACAATCAACTAAAAAGAGAAAAAAATAAATAATCATAAATAATACTATAAATAAAAATAAATATTAAAAAAAATTAAATAAAAATAAATTTAAAAAAATAAAAATGCTGAACGCAAAACTTGTATTGAGTGTTACCTTCAAAATCGCTCAACCTTAACTAGCCCCCCGAGAGTTGCGGAATTTTGAGCACAGTGTGTACTTTCTACATGTAATACAACATCTTTAGACATGTGAAATCGAATGTGTCGGTGCTATGCTATACTCGTTGGTTACATTAAAATGGATTCGTAATTATTGTAAGTTGACGGATACGAACTGTATATTAATGAAAATAAACACAGTCGGTGAGGGTCCACAATAAGCCGGGAGCTCTCCGCTATTCAGAAGCTCCACGCTAGCATAGAGCGGACAGTTCTGTGGTTCCTCCCTTGTAAGGCACAGGGCAAAGTTTGCTGGTTTTTGGCCGAGTGTCTCACAATTGCTGGCTTTCGCGTTCCTTATACACTGCGGCGGAAGCTTTTTCACAACTTGCGTGACACGGTCAAAAAAATATTGACCGTTTTTCTAGCTAGATGCCCTTATTATGAGTCGCGTGAAAGTCGGCGTTGGTGGTATTTGAAAGTTTATATTCGGCATGGTATGTGTGCTTAGATTTAAGGTAGAGCGCCTTGAAAATGAGTGAAATTTCTATGAAAATTTACTATAGAATTTTATTTTAATAAAGGTACAGATGCTGTGCACGCCTATGAATAACTGTACTATTTATGATCAGGATGCGTTATCGGAACAAGGGGCAAAAAATAGTCGCTGTCGTTTTTGTTCTGTTCATTTCGATTTGAAGATGTTTCTCGTATTGGTCGACCAATTACAGGAAAGGTTAATGAGATTATTGCGAAGCTTGAGGAAGACCAACACCTAAGTAGCGATAAGGAACTAAACATCCACCATTAAGTAGTTTTAAACCATTTAAAGGAAACAGACTACAAAAAGCGCTCGATACTTGAATGCTCCACGAATTGACGTAAACGAACTCGTTCGATCAAAGATACATCGACAGAAAAATCCACAGAAATCGAGCTACTTCTAAAGCGGTTAATGAAAAGTGGGTTAAAAGCGAATCTGTAGCAAAGCCCAGATTGACGCCGGAAATTGTTCGATGCCATTAAAAAAGAATTGCGCATTATGAGTTGTTGCTACCTGCCAAAACAATTTATTTCGATCTATAGTGTCAACAACTAACTAGGTTATAACAATCCGTTGAAAGAAACCAATCCGCACTAGTGAGCAGGGAAAGTAGTACGTTTCTTCTGAAAATGCCTCACCGCATAGAGCTTTAGCTACCCGGAAAATATGGAGAGAACTTAGCTCAGAAATTTTAATGCACCTAGGATATAGGCCGAATTTTGTACTATCAAACTATCTGCTCCGGTTTATGTAGGACTTCCTTGATAGGGTTAAATTCATTTTTAATGGAGGAATGTAGAAATCACTTGTCACCATTTTTTGCTCGTAAACCACAGAAATCCTGCAATAATCGAATTATGGTGTTACCACAATAAAACAAAAAAAAACAGGAAGCCATTGGTCAAGATGGCGCATATTCATTTCCGTAATATTATTTAAAAATACAAAGAAGTATGTGCTTCAATGTTAACTTCAAAGCGGTCAGTACTTTTCTAGCAAGCTAATATTTCAAATAACAGACCATTAACGAAGTAGTTTGCTGTTTATATTCTACATTAGGACAATGCTAGTGGCTCTGTCTGGCCAAACCCATAATGGTAACAAATCAAAAGAACTTTATAACAAGCATATCTGCTTATTCGGCAGACATCGGAAATCCATAGGGCAGGCGAAACCCATAAAACACGACCCCTGAGAAGAAAAATTCATCCATCTTAACACGGATATCCCTCTATCTGAGCTCATTGTACCTTTCAGCTCCTCGATGGACATTACTAGCAATATGGGCCAGTGAAGACAGATTTCAATAAGTAAAGATATAAATTAGGCAAAACAAATTAATAATAGCAGAAAGTTATTTTACTACTAACTATTTACGTACAATCGTTTGCGTTACCATAATAATGTGGCGGTTATGTCAACATTGTAGATAATTAAATATATTCTAATAAGAAGAGTTTTACATATTGATAGTTCACTTAATTCGATTTGCCTTCCTATAAACTTTTCTTTTTTTCATTGAAGATTGAGATGTTACATTGTTGTACACCACGCACTTAATCCTTAAAGCGTTCTCAATAAGAGACAAGACCAAATATCGTCGCTTAAATAGTACATTTTAGTAGATAAATTGCGCACAAGTGTTGAAACTTCATTATCCAAAGGATTTCACTTGTTCTTACATACCATAAATTAAATTAAAAAAAAAACCTAATTAATCCACTGACTGTTTGACATTACAGATGAAGCCGCCACACAGCTCTCTATGTGTTTTAGCTGGTGCGCTGAAATTCTTGCCTGGGATCCGTCTGCGTACAACGGTCTGAGCAATATTACCGTTTACACAACCGAAATATGGCGACCGGACGTCGACATTTTTAATCATGTCGATTTTCAGGTTCCGTACTTCTCGTCTACTATCATGTTTCTCTATGCCAACGGCACTGTAGAATGGTGCCCACAAGTTAAGTCACTAGTTAGCTGCGACACGGATATGTCGCACTTTCCGCATGACGAACATGTATGTGTCCTGCTGATAGGCTCATCGACATACACCTATGAGGAACTTAGGCTTGAGCCACGACTTGTCTTTGATTACAACCCATTAAGGAAATCTGTCCGCTCCTCAAACTGGGAGCTGAAAGGTGCATCCTTAACGTTGGTCAAGGGTAGCGAAACAGAAGACTATTATGATTATGCTTTACAGCTGGCAATACACGTTTCTCGCCGATTTTCGCTTCATCGTTACGGTTTTACGCTACCACTATTTACCTGTGCGATTCTGACGTTTCTGTTCTGTTGGATCCCACTCACCAACGATAAACGTCTTCATTTAGGTTTGCTGAGCGTTGTTTTAACCATGTTTTTGATGATTCGGTACTCGGACACCCTACGCCATTCAATTAGCACCCCGTGGGGTCTGAGGTTTGCCGGCGATCTCGTGTTATTTACTTGCATCATGATTACGCTGCAAATCTTGTGTATGGCCCTGGAAGACTGCAGTGTCCCGTTTGCTACGCATCCAATGATAGATCGATTTCTAAACACAACGTTCATCAGTGCCTATGTTCTCAACGAGAGGTCGCTGCTAATCAATGAAGAGGGACTGGGTCCCGACGCAGAGATGGATGGCGCGGCGGTAGATCCAGCTTCGCGAGAAGACAGAAGCTCTAACGATCCCTCAACCAGCGATCCGAAAAAGGAAAACGAATCTAGTAGCGGTCAATTTCAGCCCGAAATTACTAGTAATAATGAGACTATGCAATTAACATGTGTCAACCAAAATTGGCAAAATCTTCTCGTGGCCACAATGCGTATATCAGTAACGATATTTTTTTTTAGCTATGCCTTCACATATTACGTTCTTTATTAAACGATCAAGTTTTGATTGGGTGCGCGATCCTATTGAAAAGTACTCTTGGCAGAAAATAATATATTCAGAAAGGAAGTTGATTCGATACCTTACCACCGCCTTTGCGGTGGCAAGCCGCTGTAGATCTATATATATATATATATATGGCACAACATGTAACTTTCATCTCTGTGCCAAGAATCGTTTCATGCCGTTACTATATTATGCTATTACATGCGGATGAAGAACACATGATGCCCATGTTCGTCTGTTAGGAGCTTCACATTTTCTATCTATATTTTGCTACACTGAACGGTAGCGATAAAAATTATTTGTATCACTAATAATTTCTAATAAAAATGTCGCCATTATTAATTTTTTATTTAATTTAGTTATAATAGTTGTCTTTATGAACTACTGTGAAGTCTAGTTTATTCGTAAATGTAATGTGTCAGTGAATAAACGTATGTATTATTCAAAAGGTACCAATTATTCGAAATTATCCCTACGCATTGGCATAAAAAGTTGAGCGACTTTTCGAAATTAATTTAGAAAAAAATTAGACTATACTCCACATAAATGTTTTAGAGAAATGTAATTACGAATTTTGGCAGTATAGCTAGCTGCATTAGGTGCTTGAAGATACAGCCCACCACGTCCTATTACTCCTCTATATGGTACATGCAAAAATCGGTCTATGAAAAAAGCGACCTGTATTTTGTAGTAGCAGTTAAATCGAACTTGATGTTGTACGGTCGCTTGGGAAAGAACGACACATTTTCTTCAGCTAAACGGGACTAGCCGTCGTCACAAGCCACGATTTTCTACTGTTCTCAGTGGAACCGCCACTGCATGGTCGTCGAAGCGTCTAGTCGGAGTCCAGAAAGGGCCTGCGGCGGTTCGTACTAAGGTAAATCGATATAAATGCAGATGGCAGACTAGAACCGCGGGCAGGCCTGTGCCAATAGCGGAACGTGGATCCGACCGAACGAACCCGCTTGTCGGCGACCTTGCGGCGCTAAACTACAATAAGCGTCTTCTCCTACATAGAAACGATAGAGGGACAACGCACCGTTTGAGGACCCTATTTCCTAGAGGTAGGGGATGGACATGACCAACCAAGAAAAAACCGCAGGCACGGCAGGTGAAAACTGATTCAGATTTGCTCTAAATCCAGTGAAGATGCAGTGGACTAACTTCAATCTTCCTCTTTTCCCAGTTTTTGTCATTTCTTAACAAGTTTTCTACTTGTACTAGCCATCGGACACAAATCAGGCAAGTTGAAAAAGATCGTGTCGAAATTGACTTCAGTGGAAGGTAGTGGCTCGAGGTAAATAGAGACGAAAGGCTATTTTTACATCGAGCTTTAAGAAGTCATAGTAAATAGAATATTGTCACCACTAGTAAGCCCATTTCGCCGCAGTGTCGGCACTATTGCTCCAACTGACAAATGACGTACCCAGAAAGATTTTCCATTTAGATATTTTATGCTTTCTACGAAGAGAGGTTAACTTGAATCACGTGAAACGTTTTCTTAAATTGCTTCTAAGAGAAATCGTCAGAATATATAAGGTAGTACTATATATCTTAGTTCATAGTATAAATTAAGCTTTTTTAGTGTTCAAAGCAGTGGGTGTTCTGCCTTAAGTTCTTCCGCGGTTAATAAGGCGAGATCTTATAAGAGAAATAATTCAAGATATTTCAGTATTTTACGAATTCAATCTAAAAAATCTATCTGAATTAGTTATTAGCTGATATAAAACGGCACCATTGCAAAGCCATCTATCTTCAGACATTTCTTTACTCTTAACAAATTTGCGATCGTTTGCATTGAACTGATCACTTGTTGCTCGCCGGGCATCGACAACCTAGTCACGAAAAAAGTCGGCCTTACGGCGCGTTCGATGAGGGGCGCATCAGTTCTGCAACATCAGAGGCCAAGAACATCGTTTGCCTTGCGCTGCCGTATTAGCCAAAGTGCCGTTTGCTTTCCTTTCCCGCCGCTCTTCCTATTCAAACATCGTGTTACCAGTTATGTACGGCAGTATGTCCGAGCGTACGTGTATTCCTTTATTCTCATCTGATCCAGTATCAGCCACCCACAAGTCCCATTGCACCTCATAGCATTTATCTGTTTGTCTGTTAATGTTAATAGAATTACGAGAGACCGACAGAGGCTGCGTATTAGGACGCACCTACATACGAAAATATGCTGCTGTTGCTGCTTGTCTTCGAGCACGCAGACGAGGGAACTTCGACTATATCAATGCAAGCCTGTTTTCCTTCTCGTGCAGCTAGACGGACATCTACCTGGCCGTCTTACCACAAACTCTCGTCTTCATCTCTAACTAGAGCTTCTGCTGCTCGGATGTGTCTGTCAGCAGGGTCTCCATACCATGAACCCATAAGTCGAGCAAAAAGCGTACGCTATATATAAAGGTATATGTGCACTCGTAATTGGATAACTGTCTCACCAATAGCAATGTGACAGCGATGAGGGTTGGCGCATCAGTTGCTCTCGATGAGGTTTCAGTTTGATCTCACAGGAGGATGGCGATGGAGAAGGCTTTCTGGAGAGAAGAGCATCTGAGGGAACCGGCTTGTGTGCGAGTATTAGATTGTTGGCAGACTGGCTCCTACACAGGTATAGAGGGTTAGCTGAGATGCTTAGACACACACCCAGAGGGACTTGTAAGTGGCAGGTAATACCAGTGATGTGGCTGAATTGAGGTGCGTGCTGGAAATGCATAGAGGCGCTATTTGGGACAGGGGTATGGTGTGGATAGTTATTATGGATGAGGGGGTAAAGAGATAAAGGAAACAGGGCGTTGAAAGCAGCTTTAAACAAGATCATGATCGGAAGCTACAGGATTGTTACGGGCGCGAGGAAGGCGACAGAATGATAGCAGGTGATCTGAGTGTGCAGTGTTAGCTGCGTTTGTCCGTATTTCCGCATAGTTAGTGAGAAGACTGAAGGACACAAAGTCCTGTGGAGATATATGAAATAGATAGTTGACAGAATGAAGGTCGCAAGGCTATCTAGATACATTTGATGGACTAGCTATCGGACACGTACGCTTCTTGGACATAAGAAAAAGGTACCTATAAAGTTCGGGTTGAGACAAAGAAAAGTTCGCTGTATAGTTTGTGACAGTATAAAGATCTGACATTCGCAGATCAAAAGAAATGCATAGATACATAGACACACACACAAAACAGATTCTTGATCCTTTTAAATATATTATCTCAAATCACAAGTTCGCCACACAGAGAGAACGAAATCATTGATTCACTAGGTGCAATGTTATACAAAATCTAGCTTTAGTTAATGTTAATAACGGTGAAGCGTACAAATATAGAGATATTTGTTTGTAGCCAGCAGAGAGGTTTGTCTTTTTGTACAACATCGGAATTCTGAGCTTTAAGAGTAAGGGCTATATACAAGTTGAGTGTTTTGGCATACAATCTATATATCTTAATATAATTTTTCTTTGATAAGCGCGTAACAGCTGATAGCTAGATAAATTAATAGGAAAATTAAAATGTTTGTAAAAGGCATGACCACTACAAAATTACTGATACAAAATTTCCATCATTATTTCCAAAGTAGCGTACGTGTTATGTTCGCCTTCATATCCTAGCGAAAGAATAGCGCTTTTAAGGTGTGCACTTAGCTAGAGTAGTCGTTCATTTTCTTTAATCGTAAATTCCTGAATGTTCCAAAAAAATAAATAGAAAGTCATCTTAGGACTCCAAAAAGCTTACGATTTGGCTCGGGACGAGTCTCCGAGTGTAGGCTGCTAGCTTGTAAGGATCGGTCCTACACCGGCTTTCACAAATCAAACATCGACGGTATATGCTTGCTGGAGTTCAGACAAATCCTATTTTTAGCGAGGTATTTTCGCATCAAAGAGAAAGCTGAAACGCGATAGTGTCTCGGTGTCACGATTATATTATTGAAACGTTCCAACGTAGGCTATACTTAACGAAAGTCTCGAAAACGATCCCCGCCTGCAAGAACGGAATAGGTGATTCAACGAGCAGTTCCGGCGGATAAAGTTTATGTTAGAGTGACAATCTGAGCAACTCGTAGCAGTTGTAGTAATCCCAATTCTAAATTCTTGTCTCGGCGTCACAAATCTAATTTGGGGGTCCTGCAGCGCCGCTACCCCCGACCAATTAGGTCAGCGGAGCATTGCGATGCTTCGCGTGGTCCCCATTTTCCGACTAGGACTCGGGCCGTCGCATCATTTTTTTCACGAGGGCGGAGTAAGTGTCTCGCATCGCAAGCATCATATATCATCGTTGCTCTTTACTTTTCTCATTTGCATGCTTAGGTGTAAGCGAGTTCAAGAGGATGTAGAGAAGGTTTTGCAACTATTCCTATTCAGGACCGCTCTTTTTTCCGAGCTGGGTTCTGCGCATTTCGGAGTTCGCCTTCGGTGCTTTTTGGGGGTGCCCAATTATATGGGGTGCCCAATTATATGGAGCGCCTCTGCTTAACTGTGCACTAGCCCTACGTCGAGGTGATCCCAAATCGAAGCCTGTGTATGTATGATATTTGTGTGGTCACCTTTTATTTCCGCTGAGATAAAATAACGGTTATGTATCACGGTAGACGTAACTAAAAGAAACATCTAAGTTAGTATATATATATATATATATATATATATATATATATATATATATATATATACACTAGCTATGTTATAATAGAAATCTGCTTGTTGTAACCCTGTAGATTGGGCAAAGTGAGCTGTGTTTTGTTCGTGTAGAAGAATCCATATTTTAATAGAATTGATTTTCATAGGATTTCGTCATTTCACACTATTGGTTTAATACGATCTTTTTATTTCCACTTGTTTTCGTCAGATATCGAGTTCGTTTAGCGTCTATCCCATACATTTATATTGCACGCTCCCAAACGCTGCTCTGTAATCTTCTGAGTGCGGCAGGCATACCTAAGCACGGCGCGCAAACTTTAACAGCACAAAATAGTTACACGTGTCTATATAAAATGTTATGTAAAAAAAAAGCTATATTAATCAACACAACGGTAGATTGCACAGTATTGATTATACTTTAGCCAGGGTCCAAATCCGTAGAATGTTGATTATCGGGTATTTAAGTACGTTTGCAATTGGTTTTAGGTTTTGATCCAGTCTACAAATGCATACAGGGCTCATTATCAGAATAAAGATGGACACATCTCTAATCTTATAATGAGTCCCGTCTAGTATCATATGCAAACAATTTATCTGTGTGATATCAACAGACTTAATCTAGACGGTTCTAAGTACACTGATTTCATCATTAACTCTTCGTTTAGGCCGTCTGTTTACCAAGTGGGTATTAACCC